AGAAAGTGTTCGATATATTTTATTCGTCGTTTTAATATTATGGTCGTTTCACTCAGTTCATGAATTCACTCGACAGATCACGTTTTGAATGAATTTGTGAGGGACTGCGTAGTTCGGTACCTGGAAACTGACATTGTCGAAGTGCGTAAGGCGGCTGCTCTGACTTGCTGTCAACTGTTCGCTCGTGATAAGATATTGGAACAGACCAGCCAGCATGCTATCCAGGTTGTCAATGAAGTTTTGGAAAGACTATTAACGGTCGGAGTAGCGGACCCAGGTAAATTTGGGTTTTTTGTATTCACGATATGCCGTAATTTGATGGTGACTGTCAATAATTCTTTAATATTAATACAGAAATAAGTATAAGAGAGACTGTTTTGTCAAACCTTACCGAGAGGTTTGACAGACATCTGGCCCAGGCTGAAAATATCCGATCTTTGTTTATTGCTTTGAATGATGAAGCATTCTCTATCCGAGAAATTACCATCACGATAATAGGCCGATTAGCTGCATACAATCCAGCCTATGTTATGCCTTCGCTTCGAAAGACATTAATACAACTTCTTACTGAATTGGAATATTCTTCCGTAAGGTATGTACTGTTCGTGCACTTGCTATTCAGGCATTTAAGGATTATTTCGTAATATTTTTTGACAAAATTCTGAAGCCGGAATAAAGAAGAGAGCGCACGACTATTGAGCCTCCTGGTATTCGCATCGCAAAGATTAATAAAGCCATACGTAGAGTCGATATTACAAGTACTCTTACCTAAATCGCGAGACAATAGCCCAGCAGTGGCATCCAGTGTACTAGCGGCACTTGGCGAATTGGCACGTGTTGGTGGCGAAGATTTGACAGATTATTTGGACAAACTAATGCCACTGATCATTGATGCGCTTCAAGATCAGAGCTCCACAACAAAGAGGGATGCCGCCTTGAAGACTCTTGGACAGCTTGCTAGCAATACTGGATTTGTTATTGAACCATATCAAAAGTATCCTCAGCTGCTCAATATATTAATTAATATTCTGAAGACCGAGTCTTCGGTCTCAATAAGAAGGGAAACTGTGAAACTAATTGGTATTCTTGGCGCATTAGATCCATACAGACATAAGGTTAGAATCTTCTGCTTTGTAATACACTCGTCACGATTGATTCTAATTTTTTCTTTTTTATTAGATATCGATCGGGGCCTCGGACGATTCTCTTTCAGATATGAAACCATCTAATGCTGACGTATCTCTGCTAATGATGGGATTGGGTCCCCAGTCAGAGGACTATTACCCAACTGTTGTCATTAACGCATTAATGAAGATATTGAGAGATCCGACTTTGGCTACTCATCATACAGCTGTAATCCAAGCTGTCATGTTTATCTTCAAGGCTCTCGGACTGAAATGCGTTCCTTTTCTACCACAAGTATGTGATTTGATATGTTCAATCTGTTCATTCAAGCTTTTGCAGATACTTATACATGTAATTTTTTTTTAATTAGATCACTCCAGCGTTTCTAAGTGCAATGCGAACATGTCCAACCGGCATGCTTGTCTTTTATTTTGAACAGCTTGGATCACTCGTATCTATAGTTCAACAACATATTAGGAATTATCTGCCGGATATTTTTTCTCTAGTTCGAGAGTACTGGAATCCAAGCTCAACTACTCAAACCACCATTATTTCACTAGTTGAAGAAATTTCCAAAGCGTTAGACGGTGAATTCAAGAATTACTTACCAAAACTATTACCTCTTATGCTCCAAATATTTGAAGAAGATAAAACCGATAAACGCCAACCAACAACAAAAGTTCTTCATGCATTTGTCGTTTTCGGCACCAACATAGAAGAATACATGCATTTAGTGATTCCCGTGATAGTCAAGTTGTTTGAGAAGCCGGATGTCCCCACGTCACTCCGAAAAGCAGCTATTGTGGCAATAGGACAAATGTCAAAAAAAGTGAACTTCTCTGATCACGCCTCTAGAATTATTCACCCATTGGCACGCGTATTAGCTATGCCAATATATGACTTGCGAATGGCTGCAATGGAGACGCTATGTGCTCTAGTTTATCAGCTTGGCTCAGATTATGCCATTTTCATTCCAATGATAAACAAAGTTCTGCAAAAACATCGCATTCAACATCAAAAGTATGAAATTCTAGTATCAAAGCTACTGAAAGCGGAGCCATTACCTCTAGACATTGGTCCCGACATCGACAAATTCGACAGTCACAAGGAAGAGAGACCCACTGCTGAAGCAAGTTCAAAGAAATTGTCGGTGAATCAGCAACATTTGAAAAATGCGTGGGAATGTTCGCAAAAATCAACAAAGGATGATTGGAATGAGTGGATACGCCGCCTAAGCGTTGAGTTATTGAAAGAATCGCCTTCACCCGCACTAAGAGCTTGTGCAAGTTTAGCAGGGGTATATCACCCTCTCGCAAAAGAGTTATTTAATGCAGCCTTTATTTCTTGTTGGTCAGAGCTTTATTATCAATACAAAGATGAATTAGTAATGTCTCTTTTGACAGCTATACGATCGCCTAGCACATATACCGAGATTGTATCAACCATACTGAATCTCGCTGAATTCATGGAACATTATGATAGGCCGCTTTCAATTGACTTCGGGCTGCTTGGACAATTTGCGGAAAAATGTCAGGCATTTGCTAAAGCATTGCATTATAAGGAAATGGAATTCTTAAAGGAGCCAACCAAAGAGACAGTTGAGAAGCTTATCCAAATCAATAATCAATTACAACTGCCGGATGCTGCTATTGGCATATTAACACATGCACAGCAAACGCCAGGGTTACAAGATCTGCAGCTTGAAGAGAATTGGTATGAGAAATTAAATCGGTGGGACGATGCGTTAGCAGCATACGAAAAACGGCGCGAGGAAGATCCGAATGACCTAGAAGCTACTCTCGGTGTTATGCGTTGTTTGAATGCTCTTGGTGATTGGGAAGGATTGTCGGGACTCGCTCAGGAGCAATGGGTAGATTCTACTCCAGAAATGCGTAAACAAGTAGCTGGATTGGCTGCTGCCGGGGCATGGGCCTTGGGTCAGTGGAACATGATGGAAGATTATATACTCAACATGAGACAAGAGTCTCCCGACCGGACTTTCTTCCAAGCCATTCTCGCGCTGCACAAAAACCAGTTCTCCGAGTCAAGGAAGTACATCGACAAAACCAGAGACTTGCTCGATACTGAGTTAACTGCTCTCGTCGGTGAAAGTTATAATAGAGCATATAGCGTTGTAGTTCGTGTCCAGATGTTAGCCGAGCTGGAGGAAATAATAACCTACAAGCAGTTCGCTGATCAACCTGACAGACAAGCTACTATAAGAAAGACTTGGACAAAGAGATTAAAAGGATGTCAGCGTAATGTTGATGTTTGGTCTCGTATTTTGAGAGTACGTTCACTGGTTCTAACACCAAAAGAGAATATGGAGATGTATATCAAATTTGCCAACTTGTGTAGAAAGAGTGGTAGACTCGAAACTGCTGAGAAAAACCTGAAGCAGTTACTTGTTGGTGATCAAAGAATGGAAGTCATACATCCGTCAATATTAACAAGAGCTGCTCCACCGGTTGTCTACGCACACCTTAAATGGATGTGGGCTAGCGGCGTTCGCGAAGAAGCGTTGAATTATCTTAAAGAATTTACTGTTCGGATGACGAGCGACTCACGCTCTGGTAATGACTCTCTTCTTGCTCGTTGCTATCTTAAAAAGGGAGAATGGCAAATGATACTCCAAGATGACTGGGATGTTGAAACGATTCCTGATATACTAAAATCGTATGAAGCGGCGACAAGATTTGATAAAAATTGGTATAAAGCTTGGCATGCGTGGGCTTTGGCAAACTTTGAGGTCATAACACATTTTGAGAAAGTACACAGCGTTGAAAATTCGAGCGAGGATGGGAATGTTGTTGAAGCATCTACCGAGAATAATGCTGAACTTCAACAAGAAGTCTTGCGCTACGTTGTCCCATCTGTTCAAGGATTTGTTCAATCGATTGCCCTTTCCCAGGGTAGTTGCTTGCAGGACACTTTACGATTACTTACGTTGTGGTTCAAATATGGTTATCATGAAGAGGTCTCGCAAGCAATTAGCAATGGATTCAATAGTGTCAGCATAGATACATGGCTTGAGGTCATACCACAGGTTTGTTCTACCAGATCAATCATTAAGCTTATCGTCTGGTTCCGAAGATTTTTTGTCTTCTAATGCCTATTCCAACATTTATTTTTGTGTAATAGCTCATTGCTCGCATTCATACTCCCAACGAAAATATAAAACGTCTGATTCACCAATTGTTAGGGGACGTTGGCAAAGAACATCCTCAAGCTCTTATCTATCCATTAACCGTTGCATCCAAATCTCAGAATCCTCTGCGACAGAAGGCTGCAGATGCTGTTATGGACAAATTACGTTCTCATAGTCCTGTTCTTGTAAGTCAGGCATTGCTTGTAAGCGAGGAACTTATTCGAGTGGCCATTTTGTGGCATGAGATTTGGATGGAACAACTGGAAGAGGCCTCTAGACTGTATTTTATTGATCGTAATTTTGATGCCATGTTCCAAATTCTCGATGAGTTGCAAGAACGACTTGACAAGGGTCCTGTTACATTACGGGAAATAGCCTTTGTTCAAGCTTACGGGAGAGAGCTTCAGGAGGCAGGTGGATGGTGTAAAAAGTATAAACAGACTAATGATATAACTTTCCTAGCACAAGCGTGGCAAATTTATCACGAGATGTTTAAAAAGATTACTCAACAAGTCAGTACTATCACCAGTCTAGAGCTTCAGTATGTCTCACCCAAACTACTAGATGCAAAAGACCTAGAGTTGGCTGTCCCTGGCACATATAAGAGTGGAGAACCCGTTATAAAGATTTCAAGCTTCCTTCACACGGTGAATATAATATCATCTAAGCAACGACCGAGGAAATTAATTCTAATTGGAAGTGACGGGCGGGAATATCAATTCTTATTGAAAGGACACGAAGATCTTCGTCAAGATGAACGAGTGATGCAACTGTTTGGTCTTGTTAATACACTACTTTCGGTCGATTCAGAGACGTTCAAACGGCGTCTTAACATTCATAGATATACTGCTACACCGCTTACGCCTAATATTGGTTTACTGGGATGGGTTCCTAACTGTGATACATTGCATGCTCTCATACGCGATTTCCGAGAAAGCAAAAAGATTCTATTAAATATCGAGCATCGTTTAATGCTTCAGGTAAATTTTTGCGAGGGCTGTCGATTTTAGCATAGTCATGAAGGGTGAGCTGACGTATTCGCATAAATTTTTTGTAGATGGCACCTGATTATGATCAATGCACAGTATTACAAAAAGTGGAGGTATTCGAATTCGCCCTGGCAAATACAACAGGACAAGATTTATACAAAGTGCTATGGCTTAAGAGTAAGAACTCTGAGGCATGGTTAGATCGAAGGACTAATTATACAAGATCATTGGCCCTCATGTCAATGGTTGGTTATATTCTCGGTTTGGGCGACCGACATCCTTCGAACATTATGTTAGATAGATTTACTGGCAAGATAGTGCATATCGACTTTGGCGATTGTTTCGAGGTTTGTCTTGAATGAATTAGCATGACATCTTTTCGATGTAGTCGGATATTCTCATTATTGATTTGCTCTTCTTATGTAGGTGGCCATGACACGCGAGAAGTATCCTGAGAAGATTCCGTTCCGACTGACACGCATGCTAAGACATGCCATGGAAGTCAGTGGAATAGAAGGCAATTTCCGCACAACTTGTGAAGCAGTAATGTCCGTGTTACGCAAGAACAAAGATAGTTTGATGGCTGTTCTAGAGGCTTTTGTTCATGATCCGTTAATAAACTGGAGAATAATAGCAGCTCCAAGTCCTCGGCAGGGTTAGTCTCAATTAGTACTATTCCTAATTTTGTTAGTCCTCCCTTACGAATATATTAACGATACGTTTTGTTTGTAGAAGGAGAAAACCTGAATACAGCAGCAACAAGCAATCGAAAGGCCCGAGATATTATTCACAGAATATCAAATAAATTAACAGGTAAGCGTGTACGAAAACTTTTAAAGTGTTTTCAAGAACTACCTGACTGACTTGATTTGATCAACAGGCAGAGACTTTAAAGAGAATCAGGTACTGGATGTGTCCTCACAGGTAGATAAACTAATCCAGCAAGCAATATCTGTTGAGAACCTCTGCCAATGTTACATTGGATGGTAAGCAAGTACTAGTTTTTGCATGTTATAGTGTTTGGTCACATGACTAAAGTGAATCCTACTCGAAATTACAGGTGTGCCTTCTGGTAGTTACCAATATAAACGACGTCAGTTAGTTTTTTAATATTATCATCTGTTCAATAATCGAGTGTACCATAGGAGTTTATCTGTTCAATAAATTTTGTTACAAGATATAATATGTTTTCACAACGTTATTGGATCCTTCATAATGAATTATAACTACTTGCGGCCCCATCTATCTGATGCTCCATTAATCTATCTCGAGTTTTCCAAGTGTGTTAATATTGAAATACCTTCGTCCCTTCGGCAAATGTAGACGTCAAGTTATAAAGGTAAAGTTGCGCGAAAAGGTAAGATTGAAACAAAAACTTTAATGAAAAGGTTTATTATACGATGGGCGAGCTGAATGATTTTGCGACAAATATAACCCGTATGTGAGATTAACTGAATATTCACATCTTGATGCAAGTCCTTAGGCAAGAGAAAAGAACGAAGCCCCAATTCAATCACTTTTATAAATTATTAATAGTTGGTTCTTAAATAATAATTTCCTATTATCTGACATTTATATAGCATTCTTTATTGCAAGGGAAGAAATAAGTTTAACATTCAATGTTAAGGTCAATTGGATGAACAGGTAATTAATTGTATTCTGGACCAGACTTGTTGGGTTAATCAACTAAACAACTATTTATTGTAGCTAATCCCATACTGATATTTGTATGGCGAAATAGGTAAAAGCTCTTTACCGTGACAAATAAATGCTAGCGATAATGTTGGCATTGAAATCATTTGTTTAGTAGACATGTTTTAAATTATTGAACACGCCGTTGAAAAATAAATTCCATCTGTGAACGTAACAGCTTTGGTAATACGAGGTAAGTAGTTACTGCATGATCTATTACTATACAATTCATATCAAATTTCCGTTGGGTTCTTTGCTTATCTCCTAATGTGATACAAACAATGTCGTACAAATATTACGATATTAGGCACAAGTGGCCGCATCCAGCGCACAAGAGAAACAAACATGGTCAAGGTGATTAAAGGTAAGTTGCAAATTAAATAAAGAGAAAGCTACGTTAAAGAATAAAATAACCGACTAATGTTGCCCTTTATCCGCTCTAGGAGTTCTCTTGCAGTGGTAAGAAACAATCATTTCATATTTATATAGTATCACTTAATGCAATAATCCCATAATTTCTACCCCTAAGTCTAAACCATACAGTCCGTATTATATTACCCTCAAAGGCGGCTTACCCTTGCACACTTGCAATAACAATTATTTTTATCTTATTTCGTCCTTCCAACAGTGACCCCACAGTAAAGCAAGTAATTCTAAATCTCGATGAGCGAGATCACTTTATCATCGAAGATCTCGATGAGACACATGTATTTGTCGAAGCATCATGTGTCGAAAAAGTTAAAAAGTCTCTAGAGGACTTGCTTGAGGAAAACACTTATAAATTCGAATCACAACCTCCTAACAATAAGGACTAATAAATTACAATGAATACTTCCAAATAAGTGGAAGTATATATAGTTTATCGTCTACGCTCAAAGTATCCCGAACTACTCATGTATAATATACTCTTATCTACAACCCATTCACCTACGTTCAGGTATTTATCAACCGCATCGCGAAGATCTTTGCTTTCAATCTTTTCGGATGCCACACTGGTTGAAATAAGAAAGCGTTAACCTCAAGAATGTTCGATTGACAAGGATATAGCAGACAGTAAATCGTAGAAAGCATCGCACACATTGTAGTTGTTTATTTGCCAAGGTACTTACCCTAATCCCGTAGACCTTTTAATCCCTGCTAAAACTGCTGAAACTAGAACAGCGTCTACCGTAATATGAAGTAGTCGACCAAGTGCCATTTTACGTTATATTCTTGAGAAAAGCTTTAGAAACCCAATGAAAGACAAAAATGCAACATAAGATCACCTTTTGGGTTTGTAAAAACGAGGCAAAACAAAAAACAATCTGTTTACTAACCAAGAGAACACAGAAAACAACTAGAAACGCAAGAACAAGAATCAGTGAATGCAAATATATTCAATTCACAGTCACATGACCACTCTCACGTTGATCCGACGCGTCGGGAGAATTTACACAAGGCTTTCACACATCGCAGGATACTTTCTCTAAAGAGAAACCATGCTTCGAAACGTTGTACGAACAGGCTACCGTTGTAGCTTCAAAAGTCAGTATAACATTTTTTCACGCTATAATAGCAAAGGCACGGGCTATTATATATCAAGAAGAATAGGCTCAGCTGCAACTTCGAATGACCCATTTGGAACCGACTGGACCGCCGCTCCACAACAACAACAAACCACAAATACTGATCCGTTTGCAAACAACACCTCGAGTGCTGGGTTTCCACAGCAAGAGGGAGGCGAGGTGAACAGGAGCGAAGCTTTTCTTGCTGAGACGAGGAACATAGAACCACAGAGGTGAGCACAATGAAATACAATTTATAACAAACAGATATCGGATCAATATTTACATCTCTTATTTTCTAGGAATTTCTCTGAACACTATTCCCAACGCACTCGTCATCCAAAATGGACACCTGAGGAACAGGATAAGCTTGCTCAAGCGGTAGCAGATTATGGCAAAGATTGGAAGGTTATATCTCGTGACGTATTCGCTGGCTTTCGCGGCGCACTGGGATGTGAAACACGTTACATGACACAAACATGGACACCTGAAATGACCCAACGATTATTTGCCGCTGTCGAGGAACATGGGACTAAATGGGAACGTATTCATTCAGATCATTTTCCAGATTGGAGTGAAAGAGCGCTTCAGATATGGTACGAGAAATTCAAAGGTCGTAGTGGCGCCGAGGAATCTTCAGGAAGTCGTCAACGTAAAAATGTTGATGAATCCGACGCTCCTCGTCGCCGGTTATGGACAGAGGAAGAAATCGAGACCCTTCGTTCGGCGGTAAAGGAGCATGGAACTGATTTTGAGCTTATATCTCGAGACGTGTTCAAATTTTCGCGAAGTCCGCTAGCTCTACAGATAAAATATGATCAGAAGATAGGCCCTAATAAAGATAAATATAGTGGATCGGAAAGAAAAAAGAGGTATTCGAATGAGGTTAGTGAGTCTATTATCCACATCTAGTATGCGTAAATGTATAATCGATCGCGCATCTATTCCAGAACTTAATGTTGTTTATTTAACTTTAGGTACCTACATTTTTCCAACAAGATTACACGAAACTTCTCGACGAAAATGGAAATCTTTTGGTGGACCAGTCCGAACTCCATTCCAAACTCGGGTCCGAACTCACTCGTGCCTGGTCACATATAGCCCGGATGATGGGTCCGCATGTTAATAAACTTCAACTCACATATGACACGCCGCCCATTTCAACCGTATTGCCGTCTCAAGTAGTTCATTGGAGTAAATCAGAGAATGAGACATTGTTCACAACGGCGAAAGAAACTAATAATGACTGGACTAAGATAGCCGAAAGTCTGCCAGGGAAGTCGTTGGATGAGATTAAAAATCGATTCGGGTCGCCAGAGTGGAGTGCCGAAGAAATCGATTTACTACACGAAGCTATGAAGGAACACGATACAGATTGGACTAAGATATCGAACAAAGTTCCTGGCAAGAGTCCTGGACAGTGTTGGTCATACTGGAGAAGATCTACCGGAGCAGACTTGGCTGATAATGAAGACAACAAAGAGAAGAGTTCGGAGATTGGTTAGTATTGGAAGTTTGGTCAACATTCTTGGTTTTCGATATTCTGATGTGAATCGATTATTCGTTCGTAAGCCCATTGACGCTAATTATTGTTTTGCTACAAATTATTACCTTATTACTTGATGCTATATTTTCGAATCACTCGTGATAATACGTTTCTATTGTCTATGTTTTTTATTTATAATTACTGACCATGTTTAACTATTTATCCAGCTACAGCAACATCCCAAAATGTTCGAGTAGACATTCAAATGTCAGGCAATGTATCCTTGGAATTCGTATTTGCACGTACCAATGAAGCAAATTCGTTTACTTTCGATAACACGAGCCAATCTGTTTAGCGGGGGACGTTATCTAAAAGAAGCAAAATAATATACAGCATAATGTAATGTTATAAAAGAGAAATTTGTCTATCAGTCACATATTGCTTAGTGATGGACAAAATCAATAAATGGCATGTAATTGATTCGTCGTCCGTGTTGTATTGCATCCAGCATCACCATGTAGATATAATGCACAATAATTGCAGATGTCATAGTATATCCACTTACAATGTCCGCGTTGCAAATTTTATCTCGCAAATCACGAATCTTCTTTTTTTTTTTAATCTATGTTAGAGTTGATCGAGAATCCAAACATGTGTTGAAATGGTCGTGTCGATGACGCGTTTGGTGATCATATTCATGAAACAATTATCGTGTCCAAATAGTCTGTTTGATAGCAGATATGTGCCAAAATTTTAGCCAGATGTAACTTGCGATATCGCGTTCAGCTTGAATTATAGCTTAATTGCCATAAACACTTTGCGGTTTTTTTCCTGAAAATTTATTACACGAATAATTAGAGTACATTAAGAGTTTTGAATCTAATTGGTTAGACTGTGCACCATATTTTCTTTTAAAGCAATTATATTATAGTATAACGAGGAGACTGGTTTTTTTTAGCAATTAGCTTATTGCCAATCTCCTTTCTTGTGCTGAGACAATACACGTCATTTGTACTCGCGCATCGAAACCTTAACTCTTGTTTATTGTTGTTGTTTATCCAATCAGCATAATGACGCGTGTAAACTCTCATCTCCCTTCTGAGAAAGACATTAATAATGTCACGCGAGTGTATATCACGTGAACTTATGCGACAGATGCATAGTCGATGAAGCGGACATAATTGGAAAAATTAACGCGTGCTTTTTTTTACTACGGATGCAAATATCTATAAATATAAGTACACACAGAGAGCTTTTCACCGCGGTAACTCGGATTACCGAAAATAATATAATCTTAATAAAATTAGCCACATTGTACTATAGTTCTAATATTCGCATATCATTATTATCACATCGACAATGACGACACACGGGGAAACTATCGATCAATTGGCAAGCACTCCGATTGCTACGACTCTAGATGAAGCTCTTGAAATATACACAATGATTACGGGGGAGGAGACTAATAATGAGAATACTAATACTAATTCGAATATTAATGGGAATTGTGCAATTGAGTTTGTTGACTTGGTTGAAGAATTAGGCGAGGTAGTAAAAATGTTACTAACAGATAGACAGTCCAGCCTATGATTAAACGACGTTAACATTGATTATTTCTATCTGCTTAAATTAGATATTGGGTTCACAAATAATCGACAGTATAACAATACCTCAGCAGTGTGCTCCGTTTCAAATGCCACCAACACCAAAAAAATTGACCACATGGGAAAATTATCTTATTCTCGAATCAATCAGAGACTATCTTCCGAGACAAAACACTCTTTATTATTCTCCAGGTATAGCGCATTTCAATGATTAACAATTGTAATAATGATTCATCAATTAAGCTTATAATTAACCTTTGACATTTATGTTGTTTCACCTAAAGGCAACCGTCACATTAATTCAAAATATAATATGGTAATAAAGAAACCATTTCCATTCTACGAAAGATTAGTTAATTCCCTCGAAGTACATCTTGAAATGATATCCAAACACTTTTGCCGTCCCAAGTGTGTTGTGCTCAGCATGATTGATATGGACTCACCGTTCATAGCCGTCAACAAAGTGTGTGATAAAACAAGACGTAAAGAACGTAAAGTAAAACTGATGAGAAAGTTACAGTGTCCGTATTAGACGAAAGCATAGATATTGTAAATAGAAAAAGACAATGAGACAAAAAATTTTGATTCAAAAAAAAAAAAAGCTTTTTTTATTTAATGAATAAAGTAACACATCACGTGAAGCGTGACTGATCTGCGTTTTCTTGTATCGCCATTACAGCATTATGTCTCGGATAATATACTGTAATACAACGTGTTTTACTTTTTTTTTCAGTCTGTGAATTATTATTCCTCGTGACTTGTCAAATAATATTTAAATGCTTTTGCGCGAAAAATAAAAAACCATCGGCAATGTTAAGAATGGTGAAGCAGTAGAGAAGTATCGTATTTTTTCACAGCGCAGAGTGTGAGCCCCAATGAACAACCATTTTTCAAGCAAAGTGAAAGATGTGGTAATTCCCATAGGAACCCTGCTCGTCAAGTCAAAAAGACATCTAGACCCAATTTGGACACAGTAATTTCTGCCTGTTCATCATGCAGATCAAAGGCTTTATTCCGCCTATAAGTTTCTTATTTTTGCCTTGGTTATATTAATTATACGGTATATTGTCACGCCTATAAAGATGACGTATTCCTCCATCTACAGTGGGACCTCCCTAAGTCAGTCCCAAGTTTATAAGCTATATAAGCATTTCACCCTCCATAAGTACAATACCTCTCTAAGTGCAAGTTTCTTCAGTTTTTTCCTATGTCTCCCGTCGAGTTGACTTAGGGAGGTCTGACTGTACTGCGCAAATGGGTACCGAATGACATGAGCATAAAATTATCATCCATCCAGCGCCCCTCTCCAACATGGTTATCAGATATTTAAGCAGCACGAGTTTTCTTCAACGATATCTTTCATTTATTTAATTTTTTTAATCATGTAATTGTTCTTTTAAAATAATTATATATTCTAATAAACCTCGGAGTCGATAATTATATTTGTAATTGTTAGTTTGCATCGCCGTGTGTACTGAACTAAGGGTTGAGTGTAAACCACTTGCCATCGAATTTGCTAGTACCTCGCACAGGATGGCTATTTAATTGTCAGAAACGTGTTTAATTAGAAAACATAATCCCAGCGAATTATAATCGTATTTATTCTCCGAAAGCTGTATACTCTACGAAACAAATTCGTAAGTATGTAAAGCCTGCTCAAAGGTCACTAATTGTCTAGTAGACGATAACTCCGCCGGTGTAGAGACGTTCCCGTATATTTATGTCCGGTATTAATCAGAGTTGACAGCAAATGATCAAATTAGTAATTGAACTATGACATTAGAAAATTATCCCTGCAGCTATTTTCATGACAACAACGTCGACCATTTTTCAGGGCTGGTTTTCTCGCTGTTACTGCCGAAACAACTTTTCAACAGTTAAAGGGCCTTGGGTAAGGGCTTTGGATACGATGTTATGTGGTAATTGTCCTCTCGTTTCAGCGCGCTATGTATTCTTGTCTTTGTCTTCTTGAGTAACTAATTCTGCGTTTTTGTGTATAGGTTTATCGACAAAGCATTTAGTAAATAATAAACGAGTTTACCATAAATTGGCGAGCTTTTAAGCTTCCCTCGACCGTCATATTTATTACATTTGAACACAACCCACATATCAATATCTTTCAAGACACTTAAATTTTTATTTTGAACTAGACCCTTCCCGCTGATAAAGCAATAATAAATCAAATTACTAAAAACGTTCGAAATTTATTCTACGTCGATAATTATATTTTAGATGATGACGTTTACACATACTCAAGCAAGGTGAAAGTAACGAGAAGATGGAACAGACGAGCTGAACGTCAATGAGAAATTTGCCATTGACGACGTGCATGGTGAGAGTAACAAGTGCCAGCTGACACTTAAAAGAGAACGCGTACTAACAAGGGAACTGAAGTCGCCATATACTAATACCTTTTGTTGCCAGAAAGCGTATATCAATATATGGGGCATACTGCAACAAAACCAGACAAAGTGAACATTCTATTATGTGACATAAATAAGAGGCTGATTGTGATGTGACTGTAAAATTGACCGGTACTGATGACGTTTTGAAAAGTAATAATGGCACTTATTCATAACTTGTGGACTTTTTAATTTTATTTTTCACTTTATCATACCAGAATGTGATCATAACAGGAGTAATATAGAATTACCTCTATATTGGTGTATAAAAATATTAATATAAAACTAATTTACATTAAATACACTATGAAACCCAAAATTACAGCACCATTAGAAGCATTCTAAAGAACAGGGTGAAAAAATTGCGGCTCATGTTTTTAATACCCAAACTCTCCAGGAATATCTAGATCAAGAAACAATCACTTATAAAATTTACCAACATAATGAACCAAAAAAAGAAGCGAAATGTAAGGAAAATAATTTAACGAAAAAGCTCCCATAAAGGCCTCCACTGATCGAACGACTGTCAACGAAAGATTGACAAGACTGCACGATCAAATTTCGATACTTTGACACAATTGCAATCGAAAAGTCAAACACGTAAAAACAATTCAATTTTCCATAAGCATAAATTTTATTATTTCGATTATTGAATGAGCACTCTTAAAAAACATTAAATGCACCAGAGTGATTGCATGGGAGGAAGATACTCGGACCCAAAGCCATTTATGGCCAAGTTTGAAGAGTGAGCCCTCGATGCCAACCGCAAGGTTTGCACTGACTTAACCGTCGCTGGTACAACCTCTTCTTTGGTCACTCTGGTGCAAATTTAAAATTTCATTATCTTTTTTATTATTGCTACTATTAATAACATTATCACTATCGTCTTTTTTTATTTTCATCATCTCCAACCGAGTGGTTTACATTTTCCTTTTCTTCGTCGATCCAACGTTGGATTGCCTCGATGATCTTTTTCCGCGGGATTGTTCTCCAAAGATAAAAATCTCTTATTGTAGACATAGCAATGGCCTTTTGTTCGTTGAGCAACTTATAATGAATTTCAAACGCCATTTTGCTAAATGAAAATTTTAATTCTTTCGTGTATAATCGTTTCACATTGTTCCACAACTTTTCGATGTCTGGCGAGTAAATTTTGTTCGTCGCCGACAGTTTTGTAATGGATTGTAATTTCATCGTTTGAATCAAAGCTCCCGTGTTATTAGGCCGACAGTTACAAAGTATGCCATTTAACCACAGGCCGAATCGTAATTTAAACGCTTTTTCAAGCGATAAAATCAAGGACAATTGAACCAAAATACCAGCTACTTATCGAGCGAATTGCTTATCAAGTATTACAAGGTCTCATCAAGTCGCTTGATAAAACATCTGAGCTGGACTCAGTCTTAAAATGGTTATAAAGTGCATGGAAGAAAAAGCATTATCGCTTTCATTATAAAAGGCAATTCTCGAGAAAAACGATCGAAACACTTAAAAAATGGGTATATAAAGAAAAGGGGGAGGAAAATGGAGAGTTAATAGCATGTTTAATAATATATCATAGATTTCACTAGCGCGACAAAGTATAGGGTACTCATCAATGGCTTTGGGTCCGAGTATCTCCTCCCACGCAATCGCTCTAGTGAATCTTCAAATATTAATATATCTACTTTGTTTTTTGAAGAAACAATATAGTCAAGACGATTAAATATGCGTATTGATTATTATAATATCGCGATGATGTTAATCTTTCACAATTCATCTTCAAATCTTTAAATAAAAAACACAACTCACAAATTGTCCCAACTTAATGAAACGTGGTTTCCAATAGAGCGATTAATATTAATAGCTGAATCACATATGCAAGTTTTGAACCATTATATGGGGCATGCTGCAACAAAACCAGACAAAGTGAACATTTGACGTCACAAAGCTCAAATAGAAATCTACCACTTTTTTCAATAAGAAAGTAAAATACTAAACTTCATGTCTTTTTTTCGCATAAGAGACGTAAGGAGAAAATAATAATGATAAGCAAAGTTGAAATTGAAAGCTTTCAGAAGAGATAAACCATATACAAACAAGATTTTTGGAAGTGAATTGTAAGCCAACAATAATAAATAAAGCAAAGCAAACTGCTTCCAGCAAATTATCCTACCAAAAATTTGCTAAAAAACATTCCACCAAAATAGTCTTCGTATCATTCTTGAAAGCGGGAAGATTTTTACATGCATCACAAAAAAAATTGAAAAAATGCTTTATATACAGCAAAGAATATGCAACAAACAGAGTGACTTATTTCAACAGAGTCTAGAGTAAAAGAGCAGCAATATTTGAAAGATATTACAGTGAACTATTTCTGCTTGGCTGAATTACGAATAGCATAAAAGAAAATCTTTGTCCGAGCCCTGAAAATGTTTTAGTTCTATTATATAAGAAATACTTTGGTACAATTCAACATTTGCAACCCAGTAAACAATAGTTTTAGTACGTTAATAAATATAGTTATCGTTATAACACATTATGAATTAATATGAATAGTTTCACATACCATTTTATAATCGATTCTGACAGCCCTGGCACCCACAATAGAAAGTACATTTCCTCGAATTTTTATAGCATTGATTGTTGGCACATTTGGTGGCCTTACAGTTACATTTAGGTTGCTGTTCTTCCGCCTTTGAATTCGTCACAAACCTGATCATTTTCTTCAAAGTTGTAATATAAAAACGGTCCTCGTCGTCCTGAATTATATTTTCATCAAAGAAAGTATCCATGTTTAAGCAATTGATGTAAATAAGCACATCTTCTCCATCCACATGGCCTGGTGGTGTCCCCCCCCTCAACGCTTGGGAATACGAAATGAATGCGCAAAGTGCCCTTGATTTTGCCAGGGTAGTCAAAGCTTTCGAAGAAATTTCGGTATTTTCCTAGTTTGTCATTTGGAGTTCCATCTGCTTTGTAGAAACAAAGTCGTATATTGCTAGACCTAGTGTTCGCTTCATTTAAGGTCGTTTTGATGGGTGATGAGAAAAATTTGCTTCCAATACCAATCCAGTACAGTCAAACCTCGTTATACCGAATTTTCGTTATACCGAAGGGATTCTGGCTCCCCCGTTTTCTAAATAGTGAAATTCCCTCGTTATAACGAATTTAATAGTTATACCGTTACCGAAGTTCGATGCAGGTATGCTACTAATCGCTTTGTACCGAAGTTTTATCACATGATAAAACTTTTGAATAGTGATTGGCTGTAACAAATGATGATCAGGAACACTTGGGAGACCAACTCACATTGTCTGTCAGCTGGGGTGATCAGACAAAAAGAATAGGTTACTTTGGTGCTTTCAGGCGAGCTATAAAAGATTTGAGACTCTAATATGAAACCAATATTAATATCATACCCACTGATCAAGCTGATACCATGCACCTATCATTCCCATATATAAGCCAATACATATCATCTGAAGGTGTCACTTACACTGTCCACTTCAAGTACAAGGCCCAGTTTTTACCACACAGTCTGATATTCGTCAGAGAAATGCTTGAGGAAAATGATCAAGTATTTGTCAAGTACACCCAGACATATTCAGTAGAAGCTCATGAGGTTTGTGCTCATCTGGGATATGCACCAAAATGACGCACTTGTCAGAAAATTAACAGTGACTGGTATATTAATATGGTGGTGATGGACTATTACTATGTTGATACTATTATATACAGACCATACTCAGCTCGATTGATATTGCTTTTCCACCTGCTGAGCTACTCCGACCCAAAGTTAAACAAGCCATTGATGCTCTTCACCAGTTTGATCTGGTTCATGGCGATCTGAGAGACATAATAATAAGCATCTTGGTAAGCACTGATGGTAATGTAAGCATACTGCTATATGCTAGTCGATTTTGACTGGTCTGGGAAGGTTGGTATAGCACGCTACCCGAATCACACAGGCATCCGCAGACCACAGGAAGCACAATATGGAAATATTATCAAAAAGGATCATGATATCTTTATGTTAAATGTTATATTCCCAGAGACAGAGTAAACTGAATTTTCACTGCACATTTAATTGACTTCTTTGCTTTGTAAAAAAATTTCTTATTGGCTATTTCGGGTAGCAAGTTTAACACTTATTATGACCAAGTTAATGAGAAGAAACACACGATAATCAATGATGAGAAATTTACGATAAAATCCGAAAAGTGAATTATTGATTTATAGATAGAATCATCTTTGAACTTTAACAAAAGAGTATAAAAAATCTAAACTTGATAAAATTTATATATAGGAGTACCTGTATATGAAAATTATAATTATAACGATAATGGCTCGACTGAATACGAAAAAGCAATACATTTCTTAGAGGTAGGTTGCAATTGTGGTCGCTCAAAAAAGATTCCGAGAGAAAAGTTTGCCGAATTACGTGAGGCGTTTCAAGCCCTCTCTAGATCTGAACAAGATATATTTTTAATGGCCCGGCTGAAAGCGATGAATGGTGGAGAAATAACTGCCAGTCAAAAGAAAACACGCACTAATAAGCGAACTGTTTATTATTGAGATCGTAATACGTCGCTTTGTCAAAAAACATGTTAGGAATTGGCCGCACTCATTTGGAAAACGTCAGAAATCATCCAGTGATGAATGGTATAATACCGCGTGTTCACGGTAGTACAAAACGAATGCCGCGATGGAAACCAAAATAACCATTAATATAACCCTTGCTGCTGCCGTAAAAATTTTTCTCGAAAACTACCAAGTCCTGGTAGAATGTTAATCATCGCTTACACTTTACCAGCTGAAACGAGTTATAAATCGGTCTATCGCAATTTTATTGCAGGTCTCGAAAATGATAGTACGTTGAAATTGTTAAAGTATGATGCGTTTCGCAAGTTATGGCACCAATTAACGCCTTATATTCAAATTATGTCCACGAACGGATTTATGCGACACGTGACAACATTATCGGAACGGTTTACAGTATAACGCTCGTAAAGAAGAAGCGAAAGATTTATTGAAAAAATTCAAAAGAGCATCTAGTTAAAGCCAAGTTAGAGAGAAATTATTACAACAAAAATACGAAATTAGCAGAACAACAGAGTAAATTGGTAGACGAGAATTTTATAACAAGAGGTAAAGCTGATTATTGTTGTGTCGGACGCGACTGCTCATTACAGTTACGATTGGGCACAAAACGTTTACGTGCCCCATTCCGATCAGCAAGTAAGTAAATTTATTATCCGAGTCCGCGTAAAGTACATTTATTTGGTATCCAAGATAAAGCGGTACGCGAACACATTAATTACGTTCTCGATGAAGACGAAATTATCGGCAAAGGCCCTAATGGCACCTTGAGCATGGTATTCGATAGAATTAAAAAATTGAAAAACGTTTACAGATTACTTGCGGTAATGCGGGAGGGCAGAATAAAAATAATGCTACTACTTAATTTTACTGTATTTGGTAATCTGCGGCTATTACTATTATGAAAGTATCGAATTAAATTTTATGGTACCAGGACATACTAAATTTAAGTGTGATGGTAGTTTCAGATTAATTAAAAAACTATGTCGAAAAACAACTGTAGATTGTGTGAATCATATTGTACAGCAGGGTTAAACAAAGCTCAGTGCTATGAAAACGGCAAAAGCTTTCGATACTTAGATCTTAACTCTGTGTTGGGGGGTTTTTTTAAAAAAACTAAATGGTTTACAAAAATACCAGCATTTTCTCTTTGAAACAGCTCATCCAGGAGTCATCAAAGCTCAGCTGGTTGCTAATGGTTCCTTCCCCGAGTTTAATTTGTTAAAAACTAGAAAAGCAAGTGTTTCCGAAATTACCAAAAAAATTAAATCTTTTTTCAACCTCGTACTGACCCCTCTTCCTTTGGATTACAAAAGATAAGAATATTTTTATCATAGTATTTGCCCATTTGTTAGAGACGAATTTAAAGACATTACTTGTCAACAACCAATTTATACTGGCAATTAATAGACTATTTAGACTAAAATTCTCTCCATCATTTCAATGCTTGTTAATATTAATTGCCGTTAAGTTCTTCGTCTAAATTTTCAATGAATTCTACTAGCTTTTCCCGCTTTTAATTCTTAAGGCTTAAATATTTAAATAATTATACTTAATATATTCTCATAATAATAAAAATAATATAAATATACTAAAGGAATAAATAAAGTATGGTAAATGTAATAGCAGAATTCGAAAAGAGAACAAAGGAATTATTAAAAGAAATCGAACAATTAAAAACACCTTTACAATTTAAACAATTATATATGAAGAATTAAAGAATGAGTGATTAACTGTTTAATATTAAGGCACAATTACAGTGTTTCTGATATAGATGAAAGGCAATTGATATAATCATGAGAGTTTATGTTGATCAAGAAAATTGGTCTGCATTTCGTAAGAATTATATTACTGAAAGCATATATTAAGGATGAATTAGTTACTGCTGAAGAAGCTCTAGAAATTGAAAGAGAAGAAGTTAAAGTAGCCAAATTTCAAGAAGAATGAAGTGAAGACAAAAACAAGAGTTTTTTAAACAATTAAAAGAAGAAAACAAAAGATTAAAAAAATTGGCTCTCCAAGAACTAATTGATGAACTAAACTCTTGCAGAGTAAAAATTAAAACTTTAGAAAAACAAAATGGATAAGAAAAGTAAAAAAAAAATTAATTTTATAAGTAATTTTTGCTTAATCCAGATATTCCTGGAGAGTTTGATATTAAAAACATAAGGCGCAATTTTTTCACCCTGTTTTTTCTTTAAAATACTTCTAATGGTGCTGTAATTTTTGGTTTTCATATTAATATTTTTATATATAATAATAAAGGTAATCCTATATTATTTCTGTTATTATTATGGTTTATATTCATCACATTCTGGTATGATAAAGTGAAAAATAAAATTAAAAAGTCCACAAGTTATGAATGATCACTATTATTACTTTCAAAACGCCATCAGTCATACTGGTCAATTTTACAGTCAATTACAATCAGCCTCTCATTTATGCTACATAATAGAATGTTCACTTTGTCTGGTTTTGTTGCAGCATGCCCCATATTAGGGATTGACCGTAATCATTTGAAAACGTCTGGCAACGATGATATTGTGTCGTGTGTTTACGAAAACATAAAACAGTACCACAATGCAAAACCAAAACAACCTTTGATATAATTATTGCAGATAAATAGTAACAATTCTACTAATCTGTCATAGTTTTTTTAAGGCATCTTACCCTAAAGTTCAGTCAAAAATGTTCTTTAATTTAGCTTTTGTATGTGGTATTATAATGATGATTAGACTTATGTATAAGCAATATTTCACAAACAAGTTATTTGTTGAGCTTTATTACAAAGCTATATTCGATAAATAATTTCCTTCTAACGACGCGCTGATGATTCCACGATATAAGTCGACCCGAAAAATTTACAGAGTTTTGAATGCAATTTTTGTTTCCTTATGTTCACTTACCGTGTCCTTCTTAAGTTTCCTACAAATGGGAATAGCTATTTCAATTTCTTACGTTTTTAAGCACATGTGATCTTAGTTTTTATTTTCAAAAAAGAAGTCATTAAAACGTCAATATGCTCTAAAGTTTGGTAATTCAGAAATGGTCATTGAATTGTTAAAGTAATAAATAAACTCTGCGTTGATTTTTCTAAACAACACGCGGATACATGTATTATACGAGATAATCTTCCACTTTCTGAGCATTTCATGCGTGATATCCCATATCCGTGCATGTATCAAGATATAAAAATACCTACTCGCGTAGCTAACATAACGCTTACCTTTGAAAAGTTTAAATGTGTTATTACTAATAAATTGACGATTGTTAGGAAGCGTATACTTTTGCCACGAATGTCTATTTTTTTATGTCATATATCCTTGGTGGGATCGTTATTGCCGATGTGTTTAGAATCCACGTTTGTGAATTAGCGCCATTTCTGCATTTTTTGACGAGTTCGACGTAACCCTGCAAATTTTCGGGTGATTATTAATACGGATGACTGACAATGGTCGTCATTATTAATAATTCGTAATTATCGGACCGATGGAAATGCATAATTTGGAACGTGTAACTCGATTGGTTTGCAATCTAGATTGGACCAGAATAGTCGTTAAAGTTCGGTTCGATGTCACATGATCAATTTGTGACCCAGAATAAGACAAGTAGTGTTTGAACTTTAAGCCGAGTTAGCGCAACAATTAATGTAAACAACGTGTGATAATGTTTATATCATTAACCCCGTGTAAACATGGGTGGGGGGAAAAGGTTTTTTTTTTTTCTTAACATCACATTAACATTTGTGGTACACTTCAATTTTAATAATAAGAACAAAGCTACTACCAATTGTTGTTGAAGCATTAGTCATTGTGTAGCGTATTGCTGATGGCGCTATTACTAAGACTGCGGCTGTGTCAATGTACTACAAGAAGGGCTCAACCGCATTTGCGAATAAAAATACAAGGTTCTTGTTTCGTATAGTCCTGTAATGTTATACCCCTTTCTTATCGTTCAAGTATTTGAAGTTATCGTAAATGTCCTTGTTCACCTTGTTTCTATCCCATAGACTATCATAGATAGTGGTTTACTTGACAATTTTTCATCTCAGGCGCGTCTCTCTTGGCGTGAGTGAGAGGATCGTCACATGTTGGTTTTGGCCATTCTTAATCAGCCATAGCCCAACCAATGAACAATTTGGAAGGGGATGGTTATTGTTTTTTTTACGAATGTCGCAATAGAAGAAGCGACCCATAATCGGAAACGGAAACATCCCATCGACCAAGAAACCCTTATTTGATCTACGCCATTGAAATCTTGTTATCGAGGACAGCAAGCAAGTGTATCAGGGTTAACTAAATTAATACATCCATATGCCAACAAAAAAGAGCACGCAAATGGCAATATCCGTTTGATATTGACTGGTCATATTATTGTATCAAGTTTTTTTGCTCGCCGTTTTAACCAATATTTGACGGATACCATACAGTGAACGACATGTTAGATATGCAGACATTGTCTGGGTTATCAAAGATGTGCTCGTTGTGTTGGACCCCTGATGATTATTAATGAACCCTTTGTAAAGGAACGAACATCATTCAGAAACGTCGAATGCGTAATCGCCAAATTGCGTAACTATTTGCAACATCTGCTACCTTTCACGCTGTTGTTTATCGCGATTATCATTTGTCACTATTACGTCTTACCCTAGATTCACCATTTGATCTGTGCTCAATGCATATCATTGACATCCATTCTGAATTCGTTAATAATGTTGTGTTTCATTCCTTGCATCAGATGAAGGCACGAGGACATGATAAACATGGATTTGTTCGGAGGTTCGATTAGAATACGGTTAGGTAGCTTTAGTTGCATTAAATGAAAGCATAATGACGAGTGGGGGAAAAGATTAGACATTCGGAAGTTTTACACAGCAGTAGCGTACATGCAATTTTCCCTGTGATTGTTCTTTGGCCTGCCCCTCATTAATGTGTTGATCATGTAGAATCTCATTTAATACCAAGTATCAGTGTGCATGTGTCAATGCTACTATCAAACCCTGTTCATTGGGCATTGAAGAAACCCCCTCTTGACAGTGTTAGCGAAACAAAGACATTGTTATTCTAGCACCAGACCCGACAATAGCCAACAGGAATGGGTTTTGATTTCTGCTGGAGATAAGGAACGGGGGCATATTAGAATAGGCATTCCGGGGGGGGGGGGGAAGGAAGCCATATTTGTATCTGGTAACGTCAAATGTGGGAATAATGGGATCTCTTGTCGATCAGCCTATCCTTTGCTATCATGAACCAATTAATGAAAGTGCTGAGCCTTAAGCGTCAAAGGATTGCGCCCCTTTTCCCCTTCCTTTTCCCTTTCCCCTTCCCCTTTCCCTCTCCCTTTCCGAACTGCGAATAAAGATTATGACAATAAGTTTGGATATCGGAATATCTAATTTTGAAAAAAAAAAAATATGTATATTTTTAATGCAATGAAGATAAAGTTTGCATCGCCTCAGTAGCAAAACATGGCATAATGTAACGTAACAAACAGTAAATTAGGATGTTTGAGATATATTACAGAATATGTAGCACACAAGCTTTTTAGTGTAAAAAATATATATTCTAATATGCACAAATCTTTATATCATTCCTAAAATGCCCGTTGTGCCGGTATACTCTCGAAAAGCGTCCCGTCAGCCATAAACTAATTAGTATGCTTCAAAAAGAAAACCTTGACACCCACAGAGAAACTTTCAGGGGTTTGCTTATTAAACGTCTTACACCAATATTCGTTAAGGTTTTATCAATAACGGTCTTGTATAATACCTGTCAAGGTCATTACTCATTTTTTGTTGCAGCCATTGACTTTATTCGCTCTACAAAAACGTCAGCTTCGATAGTCTTGTCATTTAATCATAGACAATATTTGGCATTGTTCGACATTGTTTAATCCAATCCGTATCCATGATATTAGGGAACAACCAATTCAACAGATAAAGGAACAACTCCGTTATGTCGATTTCCTCCTCCCTTTTAAAGCTAGTTCACCAAGTTAATTTCAACTTGAAATATGGTAATGATTTTCATTAAAATGTTTTTTGTTGTCAATTATTTTCCCTAGCAAACACCACATACTGCCAAGCATAAATCTCCGCAACAAAGCATATGTAAATTCCATTAAGAATGGCTTTTGTTTACAAGCCATGACGTCTTTCTTGACCAATAATAAAACTCGACAACGTTTGGTGTTGTTTTTGCCTTGCATATATATCGGTCTGTGACCCCCGATCTGGGCGTTTTCACGTCGTTTTGATTGGATGTTATTTGGGCGCAGCAGGTTAGTAGTAAAGAGATTGATACAGTGCTACTGTCATTACGGAATGTCGTCATAAATACCCTGTTTTAGTTTACGGAAAATTTTCCTGGAACATCTTTTTTTATGCATTAGTGTCGTAAATACTTCGGCCGGTGGCTGCACATAGATACATTTTGGCATATGATTTTGGGCTTACTTTATCGGCAAATAAAATTCATTGGGAAGTTTAGTTGTCCTAAAGGAGTAATTGGGTGATGGGAAATAAACAAGTCAGGGAACCTGAGGCATAGGTTGAAAGGCAACAGGGCTAATCAATTATAATAACATAAACAAACAAACATGGAATAGGCAGAAGACGCAAACTGCCAGAGGCAGAAAAAATAAAGCAGTTCTTTTTTATCTGACGCTTTTGTAATTCATAGTACCTATATACAGTAGTGATTTCCGAATGTAGTACAATACAATATATTGTCGCAAATGTTCGGGTAGGTTTTTATTATCGATAACAATGAATGAATTGCTGAACGGCAAATCGATAGAGTTGGAACAATTCCAGTACAAGTAGTAATTAACGTGTAAATAAGAGATTCTATTGGCAAGATCTTGTATTTAATCTGCTAACCGGTGACATAAAAAGGGTTCACAACAGCAATTGTATACTAATTGTTTGTGTATATCATGCAAATTATTTATTGCCCGTAACTTTATAGGATTGAGCAATAAACAAAAAAAAAGCCCTTCTTGCCTTTCGGTTCTATTTATAATGTTTATGCTAATCGAATTCGAAAGAATGATAGTGCCAGTGTGTTCTGGTTAGTGTTAGCCTTATTAATATCTGTATTTATATATATTTACCCTACAAGCCGCTTTCATGCCACACTTCTTGTCTTGGTATGCAGCCTGTATGTTTTTTCATTGAATGCGCGTGATCTCACTATATATGATCAACATATTTAATTATACAACCTGTGTATTTTATAATTTATAAAAGCGTATAATTTCAAATGCACGAAACCCCAGACCCAACCACACACTGATTATTAAAATAAAAAAAAACCCATTCTCCCTAATTCTTGTCAACCCACCGACGCTCCGTCATCAGACAGTCACCTTTAGAATATACCCTGATCATTCAATAACCAAATAAGCATTTTCCCTCACCAAAAAAAACCACATCAGACATTGCCCGCTAGCTAAATCATTTTTCGCAATTCTCACCCTCAACAGGTTTTCACCAACTCGTAATTTCCTTCATATCTCTAACAAACACACTCACAACCCAAAAAAATACACTTCTAATCCCTCTCCTCACGCGTCCACCACAATTTTTACTCGAGCCATTCAGGTCTTTGCATTCGACACTCTTGACAAGCGACAATATAAAAAGACTTTGTAACCTACCATGAGTTACCCAGATCCCGACGACTATCTCGAGAGCTTTTTATCAGCGCAAGCGCCCGCAAATACCTCTCAGCAAGACACTAGCGGATATATAGCCACAGGTCCGCAAATAAACCCTGTCGGGACTGCGTCATATTCCACGATTCCTATTAATTTCAATGCACCGTCGATATTCGCAAGTAATACATTGTAAGTAGATAAATCAGTCCGCCATGCTCTCACATCCGAAAAATCATAATTGATATCCGATATGCGCAATCGATTGGCGACATATGCGTCTCACGTCCATCGGGCACTTTACAATAACCCCTCCCTTATATCCCCGTTTAATATTCTTGTTTTCGTGATTCTTTGTATCCTAATAATATAACGCTACATGATGCTTTCACATTCATTCAGGCGCACGCCCCTCCAACCTCAGACTCAAGATCCATCTCTATTCACCAAACCTCACCAAATACAACAGCAAGAACAGCAGACACCGTCACCTTACGATATATCCAATGTCGCTTCATCCATGGATTCGTTCTTTGGCTTGAGCAATGTCATTGGCGGTGGCGCGGGAATACCCAATATGTTCAACTCGGCTGGATCCGCTGTTCCTACGGAATCTGTACTGCCAACGGCAACGCCCGGTCTAACGCCTTCTTTAGCGCCTCCTTTATTGGGACCATCCCTCCCGCCCGGTGAGTATCCCCAAAAATGTCTGAGATCAGTATTAATGGGACGGGTGGCTTGGCTGAGTGGGAGTGGGAATGGGAATGGAAATAGTTGGGGAGGGAGTGGGGGAGGGAGTGAGTGAGTGAGACATGAAAATAGTATTATTACTGGGAATACGTTAAATTTGTGCGCGCGTTTTTTTCGTTCCGTATAGCAGATAGGAAAAAAAAATTAATCTTGCGATTGCCAGACTCTTACTCGATCTTTTTAAATGCATATAGGAACGGCCGGAGTAACGCCAAACTTTCCCGGTTTATACTCAAGTACAGGATTTGATATGCTTGGTATACTGGTAACTAATCTCGACGATTCTCTACGTTTGTACTCAACGACGCGAACTTAACCCTTTCATCATATATCTACAGGCTCGCGTTGCAAACAGACCAAACCCACAAATTAATATTGGTCCAGTCGACATGAGCTGTTCATTCCTAGTCGGTGAGAACCCATGTTTACCATTCCCGATCTATCATGTTTTTGCTTTTCGCCAGGAAAAAAAAAGGGGGGGGGACGCTCGTGAATTTCGTTGTCGCCATCTTACCGTTAAATCTAACTGCTTTTTTACCGTGTTTCCTAACAGTTGACGCTCGAAAGTATGACTTTCCAATCATATATGCTAGTTATACTTTCGAAAAGTTGACCGGATATTCAAATTCAGAAATCATCGGTCGTAATTGTCGATTCCTACAAGCTCCAGATGGCCGCGTTGCCTTGGGTTCAAGACGTAGATATACGGATAATAACGCCGTGTATCATCTGAAGAGCCATATGGTGTCCGGAAAGGAATGTCAGGCATCGATAATTAATTACCGTAAAGGTGGTCAGGTTTGTGTCGAAGTTCTGCGAGACGTGGTTTGTTCTACTAGACTTTATGCTTATTCAATTGTTTGCCTTTTTATAGGCTTTTATTAACTTGGTCACTGTTATTCCGATCACTTGGGATGGCCCGGATATCGCGTTCTTTGTTGGGTTCCAAGTGGTATGTATTGCTATGTCGGGCCCAAGGTTGATTGTGTAATACTAATAGTTGACGTTTAGTCGTCGGCGTTCTTCCTCTGGTTGTATAGAGATATTGCTTGTTTTAATGACACGAATGATGTCATTTTTTCCTTTCTTACATCTGTTAACCACGCGTTTTAATTTTAACGATAAAGGACCTCGTGGAACAGCCGAACGCAATTCTCGAAAAAATGAAAGACGGCACGTATGTAGTCAATTATCAACTAATGAACTTGACTGCATACGTACCGCCAGCATCGTTCATGAACCCTCCTGAAGGCGTAGACGACTACTTCCGAGATGTGACAAATACATCAATGCCGTTTCCCGCCACTGCTGAAGTCTATGATCTCATTGGTGATAACGCAGATATCGAAGTCAGCAGGCGGATATGGAACAAGACTCTCCTTGAACAATCCGATGACTTTATTCACGTTTTATCGCTCAAAGGTATTTTTCTCTACTGCTCACCGAGCTGCAGGCAAATGTTGGAATACGAACCGGAAGAATTGGTTGGCAAATCGCTATCAACAATATGTCACCCAAGCGATATTGTACCAGTCATGCGAGAACTCAAAGAATCATCTAATGGAGTCGAGGCAGTAAACCTTGTCTACCGAGTTCGCCGTAAAAACAGTGGATACATATGGTTAGAAGCACTTGGAAAGCTACACATTGAACAAGGCAAAGGACGTAAATGCGTTATTTTATCAGCTCGCGAACGTCAAGTTTATAAGCTCCAGTGGAAAGACTTGCAGGCAGCTGGTGGAATATCAGATCACGAATTCTGGTCTAAACTTTCTCCTGAAGGCATGTACCTGTACGCTTCCTCAACTTGTCAAGGCATCCTCGGCTGCTCTATGGAGGAATTAGTAGGCACATCTTTATATCAATTGGTCAAATCAGATCGAACGACGGATATCACTCGATCGCTTAGTCAGGCGAAAAGTGGCTCGGTCGTTAGCCTGAGACATCATATTCAGAAAAAGAATGGACAATTTGTTGAGATCGTTTCGACATTTTACCCTGGCGATCTAAGTGGCAACGGAAAAGCATCGTTTATTATATGTCAGAGTAAATTGATTGCGACGGAACAGAGACGACGGTCATCCGCTGGATCACCGCCGTCGGATAGTGGGTCGTCTTCTGGAGGATCTACGCCGAGGCAATCTGCACATTTGAAAGGCATCTCGATTGAACATATGCCTGAAGATAATATATTTGAGGAATTGGAGGTTGCTAGAGGCACTAGTTGGCAATATGAGTTGCACCAAATGAGGTTGACTAATAAGCGATTAAGGGAAGAACTCGAGTCTATCAAACAGGCTAGGAGGAGAAGGGTACGAATATGTGATTTTTGTGTTTACTAGATACTATGTGTTTTTAAAATTGAGGAATACGCGTTAACAGCTCTTTATTCTTTCCGTTTCGTACATATGTTACCAATTCGATATATAGTTTAGGAAACGAAATCAGTCGTCCAGTAAGGTAGGTTTTAATTAATCCGTATGCAGTTTGCGTTATAAGGCTGAACAATTCACGCGCTTTAAATGTTATATTTGCTGTTTTGATTAACGTCTCGTTGAAATCGACATATTCACCAACTGACGCCTACCTTTTCCTTCATACCTTTAGAGTACACAGAACCGGTGAAAACTAAAGTCTTGCGGTATCTCCTTTATGCGCATCCGTTTCCAACGGCAGCAATCAAAAAAATTATCATTTGCATATATTTTATTTTTATATATTTCTGTTTTTCATCAATCGGGACGATATTTATGTCATGATTGGGGTACTTGTTGATTATGGATTCTTACACTACTTTTCTTTATTAATTCTTCCATTTTATATATTTATTGGTAATATATATATATACATACATACAATATTTTTATTCAAGACGAGAAAAATGGTCGTTCTCGTCAAAGAAATAGCATAACGTAATGCAATGCGTTGTGCATGTATAGTTTCCTTATTTTTGCTGTAAATTTTTCCTACCCACCTTTCCCGTCGAGTCATTGATGGTTATTCCAACTCAAAGGGAATTTTTGATAGATAATATTCAAGGAAGAAACATGTTTCCGTTATTTGTGATTAGAATACTTTGTTGTTTAGAATATTGCGTTTCTCGTACAATAAAGTAAAGTAGTTGCTGTACATGTCATTTGCAGAGAGAATCTTTTTATATTTGATAACCAACAATCGTCTTGTCTCTAAAATCACGCTTTCTGTCCAAAGATCGTTATCGCGTCGTGGGTAAGGCACGTGACATTGGTTCTTGACCAATATGTAAGTTGATTGGCACGTTTTTTTCAATTTTTGGGAGAAACAAACATAATAATAAAGGAAAGCACTCGATCAAATATTTATCCTCAAATATTACTTTGAGACAGTAAGAATGAAGATTTGGCGTTCACTGCCTGCAACAAACCAACAATAATATTAATTTAAATTGACAGAATCTTGTGTAGCAGCCACGATTTCTTATTGTGGATTATGATTGGCTCTTACTCAGGCGGTTTGATCCGGCTTTTATCTAAAATTGAATGAACAAAGACGAATTTCTCAAGTGGTTCTTCTTTTTTCATCTAATAAGTTTTGGTAGTCTAAAAAAAGATTATCTCTGTCAGCCCACTCTGATGTGAATTCGGGATTTCCGTGTAGTGAAGATATCTCAGTAAAGGTATCGCGTTTGGCTAAAAGCTTAGCCGGTTATCATTCTAGCCGAAACAATCTCGTTCAATTGAACAACATAAATGTATCTGTAAAATTATTTCGTCTTATCTTGTTAGAAAACATAATTCGTCCGGGTAAAAATGGTAATGACGTAATTTCGCTCGGTTTAATATCCAGCATGACGACACGATGTTAGAGCGATGTCCTTGAATAAGATCAATGGGGTTATGGTGAAGATATAGAAAGCAAACCTATTGCCTTGGTGTTATTCTGATGGTATTCAAATAGTAATTATGAAAGCTTAGTATTAGGTCGGTTTGTGAATTTCTTTATTTGAAAACAATCTGTGAGATTAATCAGAATGTATGCCAGAGGAGAACTACCAATTGTCTTAGCATTCACTATCCATCGCAGAAATAATAAAAAGGGCAGACTTTTGATTCCATCACAACGTTCCAAAGATAAAGAGCTATAGTAATACACGTAGTCTTAACATTAGTTGTGCGCAATAAATGATATTTCTCAAGATGACTCTATAAAATACCCCAATATTAACACAAAATTACATTCGGGATATTTCCAGATTAAAAAGTCAAACAAGTAATGTCCATTATTTATAAATTATATGGGCATATCAGACAATCAAATGGCATATGTGGCTAAAAATACAGCGTGATGCTAACACTAAGTATTGATAGCATTTGGGAAGGATTTGTCTTAATAACCCAACTTTGGCTCATTGACAACCTACTATAAAATTAATTTCCGTTGTAGTTTAAGTGTGTACCATAAATTTTACTCAAGTTGTTATTACGATTACAACGTGTTTCGTATAAGGCTATTTCTATTACTATGTAAAAGCAATTTATATTTGCTATTATTACGTACTATAGCCAAAAATTACTGCACTATTAAAAGTAAAATTTGAAAACCATCCTTAACGTTGACAATGTTGACTTTGTCATCCTCGCCACTGAACAACTGGAGAGCATTTCCAAAGTTTTTGAATTTGAGCGAAATTTTATTCTCTTTGTTAACAGCGAAACTATCCTAATTTTGGCAGCAGTAAGAACAATGAGTGATGTAAAAGAAGCGGTATAAACCGTATACTGTACAAGTTTAGATACAAACAGTATCCGCATTCAAAGAAAAACAAGGGATCCATAAGCTTTTAAAACTAATAATATGATAATACTTGATAAAAATAATAACTACCATAAATTTACCCAACACTGAACTTTATTTTACAATATAATTCGTACAATTCACGACGGTTTTTTATCCTGAATATCAAATACCATCATTGCGCCTTATTTGACAAATATTACTTCAGAATATGGAACGTGAACATTTGTGTTCAATCGTAACTGTACAATTTGTGTTGCTCAATCAAATTGCTTAATTTGTCTACCATAAACTTTTTCTTTTATGGGGAAAACTAGAAATTAAATTCAATTTTATGAATGAAGCTAGAAATGTATAGAAATTAAATTCAATCTACCTTTGCTAGCATACGACAAAAAATGTTCAACTTTTAACAAAGAAATTGTTAAAACAGAAGAGTCGTGTGCTGTTCTTGGAGAGACTAAGGAGTTGTCATTGCCTACCAATCGGATAATACTTTGGATGATGGATACATTATCGGTCTTTTAATACTGCAGTGTGAGATTTTGGTAATTCTCATTTGATAGAATTATTAATAAATATCAAACATTTGGAACCATGCGTAACACAATCAGTTATTAGTCTAAATGTTTAATTTTATCCGTTACTTCTTTCATATTTTGTTTTTCATATTGACAAACGTGCTGTCTCTACAAAAAGGCATGCTCGGGAAAAGAATAGCCGTACGACGGTTAACTGGTGAAATTAAAAATCGGAAAATTGATTGAAGTAATGAACGAAAGTGGTTGTAATTTTGGAATGACAATGACAGTAGCGCAATGTGTACCGGTCGTACAGCGAATAGACGTTATTTAAGAGACAAATATGTCATCCAATTATTATGATTTATTAAACACGTAGGCAGTTGTTTCTATATTATGTTCATACAAACAATACGTAAATTGGTAGTTACCAATCCAGTTATGCCAATTTGGAGACACCAGTTTCTTGCGCAATATAAATACATAAAATTATTCGCGAAACGCACAGCAACTTAATTGGAAATAGAGTTTCATCTGTCCCCTTGTCATTGGACCGTGGTAAAATTATTCTCACTAGAATAATGAAAGCTACTGGAAGACGTATTGGGGAAACTGGTATGACCAACAAGCATAATTTTTTTCCGTGGCACTTATAGAAAGACATTTGAAAATCGTTATTGATAACCAATCACATGTAAGTTGCATGCAGATCGGAATTTAACCTGCATAATTTTTATGAAACATTCCAAGTGAATGAGTTTAATTTTGCTTCTCGTATTTACTGACATTATTATGAATTTCGAAAATTTTCTATAGTAAGTTCAAAGCAAACGTATGAAATTTGTGTATTTTCACTCCTTGTTATCGAAATTAATTGTGCTGTACCCAAGCATTTATTAACGTTATCTTATTGCAAGGCGAGATGTCCCATCCGATGAATTGGGGAGAAATTATGGCAAATAGCAAACAGGCTTACGTAAGATACCACAGAAAACCAGATAATTTAATTCCAGAAAACTTCCAACCAAGAATTGATACCACCTTACTATAACTTGAGTTTGACGTAACGATTCAGCTATTTGTATCTATCGTCTTTTCAACAAAATTAGTATAATTATAGCCAGGAATAATTGGTCGGTTAAAACTTGAGATTTTCGAGTATTGCGTAAAACAGTCAATAAAAATATATGAATTCTTGAAACCGATATGTTTATTTAAGAAGGGGGAAACCCCGATACATTAACATCTCCTAACAGTCGATTACGAGGTAATGGTTGGTTGTTATTCTGTCGTGATCCCTCCTGCAGTTGCGCCGTAAATCGGGTAGACGATTTGCCGCATTGAAGGACATATAGAGCTTCTTAAATATAATGTTTTTAGAGATTGATTTAATCTGGCTTCTCATATTCAGAAGGTGTCGTCCCCTCGAATAGGATGAACGAAGAGATCGTCATACGCAGCACGACAGTTTTTGATGTGCGGAGAAAGGGAGAGTTTATGTATTTGTTACCTAAATACTTAAAGTACAACCTATCATATCGGATAATTACACACGTGAATATATGTCAAAAATGGATTGGTTGCATCGAATTAGAGCTTCTTTTTCTATGATCGTCATGAGGTTAAAATATACACCATTAGATTATTTATACTATGCATACATTTGGGCTCTGTTCACCAATACTATTATGCTTCTCTCTTAGAATTTCTGTTGACAAAAGTGTGAGGAGGGTGTGATGTGAGGTTAGTAATCAGTATGAAATTAGTGTATTTACCTATTTACCCTTCGAAGTGAATATGACGTTTGCTCGATAGCCAGTACTGAATACTAATTACTGGTCGGAAAATATAATGTTTATTGCTGGCAAGTTCTGTAATATATAACTGCCAATTTGGGTGAAACACGTGCAAAGACTATTGCTCATCATTACTATTGCCAAGTCGAAGGGGAAAAATTGTCTCACCTTACACATTCGATCTAGAACCCAATGCACATAATATATTTCATCACCATATATTTATTTTAACGTTAATATTTGTGTGGCAGTAATGTATTTACTAATATGTATATATACGCTTGGATGTTCCCCTAGATATTTATGTATTAACAGAATGAAAATGAAAGGGATCTGAAAAGATCACTGTCTTGAACTGACCCTAGTCATAACAAATCGATTAATCGTGAGATTCTAAAAGAAAGCATACCAATCGTAATAGTTATATATAAACAAACAAACAAACAACTACCCTAAACAAATCTAACTATAGTCTATACAACAAATTCACTTTCCCTCAACAACATATTTAAATGACGTCTGAATCCACAGATGATTTAGAATATCCGCCTCCCTCTCCGCAAAGCTCACGTCGTCGCCGTTCAGACATGATATACGATGTGGAAGATTATCTCAACGAGATAGAAAGTCTCGATGGAAAGCGTCGTGCCATTCTATCGGAAATCGATAACGCTGACTTCGGCTGGTTCCATATACGCACTTGCATAGTATCCGGGGTAGGATTCTTCACCGACGCTTATGACCTATTCGTTATCAACTTTGTAACAGCAATGCTGGGCTATGTTTATTACCAAGAAAGCAAACACATACCCACTCATCTCGAACTAGGTTTAAAAATGAGTGCAGCAATTGGAACTTTCATTGGACAGTTGTTTTTTGGTAAGCCTTTAAGAAAGTGACAAAACTTCTTGCCTATCAGCCTGCATTTAGTAACTCGTCTCAAATTAAATTTCTTTTTTCAGGTTGGTTGGCCGATCATTTAGGCAGAAAAAGAGTATGTATTAGTACAGCTTTCTCTCTTTTGAAGGAAACCGTGTAACTTAATATTATTGACTTTCATTAATTTTAGATGTATGGTCTAGAACTTATGATCATGATAGTCGCAACCGTAGGATCGTGTCTCTCAGCGAATGCATTCGCTGCAAATATATGTGGCAGCTTAATATTTTGGCGAATAATACTGGGTCTTGGAATTGGTGGAGATTATCCTATGTCTGCAGGTTAGTCGTCAGCAAATAACCGATAATAGACAGGCCAAATAAGATTTAGACGAAAAACCTTTCCAAGAAATGGATCAATCTCACAATTTATTTCCCTATAGTCATTACGGCTGAATTTGCAACGAAAGCCCGTCGCGGCGCCATGATTGCTGCAGTTTTTGCAATGCAAGGCTTTGGCATTCTCACTGCAGGAGTAATTTCTGTTGTCGTCCTTTCAATCTACAAAGAGAATATCTATAGTGATATACGCTATATCGATTACTGCTGGAGAATTATTATTGGGTTTGGTGCCGTACCCGCTGCAATAGCTCTCTACTTCAGGTTGACGATTCCGGAAACACCTCGATTTACCATAGATATTGAGAGAAACGTTATCCAGGCTGCTGACGATGTTGCAAATATTATGAAAGGGAAATATAGGCAAAAGGATGATGAGGTACGGGAATTGCCATTCAATCCGGAAGTACCAAAGCATAGTTGGAAGGATTTCAAAGCACATTTTGGAAAATGGGAAAACGCAAAGGTTCTACTTGGGACTAGCATATCGTGGTTTATGCTTGATGTCGCATTCTATGGCGTTGGGCTTAATAATTCGATCATATTGGATGCCATTGGGTTTGCTGCTTCAAACGATCCATTTGTATCATTGTGGAATATCAGTGTTGGCAATATTATTATAACTATGATCGGAACAGTACCTGGGTATTGGTTTACTGTGTTCTTTGTGGATAGTTTGGGAAGAAAGTTTATACAGTCTATGGGATTTGCAGTGTTGACGGTGTTATTTGTTATACTTGGATTTGCATATAAATCTATTGTCAGCACTTCCACAGCATTATTCATAACATTATTTGCACTTGCTCAGGTAAGGCCAATGCATGATAAAGATGATTATGAATGTACATAGAGTTGTATGGCCACTGACATGCCAAGTTTTTTTTTTCTTTTTTTTTTTTTTCGCAATCAAACCTATACAGTTTTTCCAAAACTTTGGTCCCAATAGTACAACGTTCATTGTTCCTGGCGAAGCATTTCCCACAAGATACAGATCAACATGCCATGGTATTTCAGCAGCATCAGGAAAACTTGGTGCCATTATTTCACAAGTTGGATTTCTACAAATGAAAGACATTGGTGGATACAATGAGTTTGTCGATAAAGTTCTTCTTATTTTCTCCCTCTTTACGTTTTTGGGATTTCTTGTCACATTCTGGATACCAGAAACTAGTAAAATGTCTTTAGAGGAATTATCTAATGAACAACAGGAGGGTTTTATCAGGGGACCTATTAGATCTGAAAGAAAGATAAGATTCGAAGATAATGGCACAGGTGTTATGGAAATGGCTAGTAGCTCTACTGGTAGAACGTTTGACACGGAAGTAAAAGAAAATAATTGGGGAATAGCATACTAGTACTAGTTATAATTTAATAGAACTTTAAAAAAGAAAAAAGAAAATTATAGAATGAAAGCGAGATCAGGGGTTTTATTTATTGTTAGTGATTGATCAAATTGTATATTATATCTTTTCATGTCATGTACGTAGATAGTTTGATTTGTAATTGCAGTTTGCACTATTCAGTCATTTAATTGATTAATATCATGCGTGACGATTTGGATTACGTACAGTCTTTGTAAGTTGTATGAGATTAATTATTGTTTGCAGAACACTTGTAAAGAATAAATTCATAAGAAATAATAAGCATTGTTGATGTGGTTGTAGCTACTATATTACGCGTATTTGCACGACCATTTCCCGGTTATTATTATGTGGATTTTATCCAATCGACCGCGTACTGGTCAAATAATATCCCCTTATTGGTCGTTTCTGATGACGTAATCGTATTGTGGGTTTATTTTACCTTTTATGGTAAGTTGTTCAGGTTAGAATTATAGCGTTCGCTTAGCATTAGGGCAGTTTCATTTCAATCCACCAAATTTTTGAAAGGCGATCAAAGCTATTGAAGTTTTCTACTGTTTGACGAAAATAGCGCTATTCCTCCGTTGGAATCACGCTACCTACTTTTTAGTTTGTCACAAAGTATGTCGGCTGGTCCTCACACACCCAGTGACGATCGCCCAACTGATGCAAGAAACAAATCCGTGGCTGCTGACCTTATAACAGCTCGCGAAGAGGAAGACGACGAGAGCCACAAATTCAAAGACGACCATAACGGTGAAGAGCGTCAACGAGATAGGGCTAATGATGAAGATTTGTTCAGGCGCCGCCGCAGGTATGCTTTCAAGTCCTTTGTCGTTTTATCATTTCTTGAGTGATTAATGAAATAACGAATTTTCTTTTACTATCGGAAGAAGTGGGAGCAATTCTCCTTCACGTGGTCGTCGTTCTTCATCACGTAGCCGGCGTTCTCGCTCGCCACGGCAAACTCCACGAAGATCGCGATCCCCACGAACGCCTCAAGGTACATATCCCGATTCGTATGGTACCACCAAAGGTCGCTCTTCGTATAATGATCCTTACGAAAATGATAGAAGGGAACGGGAATCTGATAGGGACAGAGTGAGGGAACCTCACCGTGAACGAAATAGAAGAGAGCATAGTCGATCAAGAGAGAGATCTGCGAGAAGTTTCAGGTCAGATCGTAGTTATAGTCAAAGAATAAGCGCCAGGGAGACTGCGGGTATGTCGGGGATTTGGAACGTGTGATTACTTGGTAAGCGATTCGTCTATAAACTGTTGAACGATAATTTTATTCGTTAGCTTTCGCGGCTTCACAGAAATCACAAAAGGAATGTCGAGTATATGTGGGTAATTTAGCCTATGAAGTTAAATGGGCACAGTTGAAAGATTTTATGCGACAAGGTTGGTTTTCTACTTGTTTGTCTATTTTTTTTTCCTTCTCGAAATATGTATATTTACCCAAAGCCATCTGATAGCTGGTGAGGTGGTGTTTGCGGATGTTCTGATGCAACCTAATGGAATGTCAAAGGTAAGTAAATCCAAGAATTAGACGTTTTCTGCAGAAATTTTATCTTTCTCACGGTTTTTGTTTATACCTATGTGTTTCCTACATTTTTTTAGGGTTGTGGGTAAGCAGAAACAGTGGTATTATAATGGGGAATACAATAATGCTTATTATAAAGCCGGCTTTTTGTTCGCAGAGTTGTTGAATATCGTACACCTGAAGACGCTCGACGGGCGATTCAGACCTTGAACGATACAGATTTGCTAGGACGACCAGTATTCATCCGCGAAGTGAGAATCTTTGATCTTTGTAACATTGACATGATTGTATGCCTTTATACAAAATCGTCAATTTTTTTAATAGGATAGGGAGAGTGAAGCGAAATTTGGTACTGGATTACCTAATCGTGCTCCTGATAGAAGTGGAGGGGGAGGGGGTGGAGGAAACAACAACGTGCCCAGTGGCGGAAACAACCCCGGTGGTGGTGGGGGCAACGCGGGCCGACAAATATTCGTGGGAAATGTGAGTTGCTTTGTGAGCATGTAATCTCTTGTATTCCCTTAACTCATAAACTCTTTACATTGTAATCCCATAGTTGCCGTATTCTGTCGGCTGGCAAGAACTGAAAGATTTATTTAGGAATGCTGGTATGTTTAGGCAAACGTTTGTAGAACAACGCTATCAATAATTGACTTTTGCTAAATTACTCTTATCGTCAACAGGGAATATCATTAGGGCGGACATTTTAATTGGACACGATCGTCGTTCTAAAGGATCAGGGACAGTGTTATTCGAAACTCCAATTGATGCAGCCAATGCTATTTGTACGTTGTCAATTAGTTGCTGTTGGGCAAAGCATACCCGATTGATGCAAGTGAAGCATGGGCTGATATGGCGACAATAGGACGAAGTAGGATGGAACGATGGATATTTTTTAGATTAATTTTAGCTAAACGGTTGAATGGTTATTTTCATTCTAGCTAAGTACGATGGGTACGAGTGGAATGGTAGAAGGATTGAAGTTCGAGAGGTGGGATGATGTTTGGTTGTTACTTTCGGGTTGAGTTGGGTGCTGGAGGATGAAAGGTTCTATGCGATATTGTAAATCGAACGAGTCCGAGCACATTAGGGTGGGGATGTGTTAGAGTCTGAAAAGAATATTGAGACGGTGGGTATTCTTTTACCCGACTTCATTTATCCCTCATTCTCGCAGGATCGTTTTGCTGGAGGGCCGCCGCCGCCAAGATTTGCTGGTCGACCTCGGTTATATAATCCATCATATGGCGGCGGATCGGGTGGGCCTTACTACGGCGGAGGCTATGGATCGGGCTATATGTCTATGAGCGGAGGCCCCGGACAATATGAGACGTATGGCGGCGGTTATGGTGAATTTGGCGGTAGCGGTGGCATGTTAGACTATAGCGGCGGTGAGTTTGGTGGTAATTACGGAGCACCGTACGGAGCTGGATCTGGTTATGACGGAACATCAGGGTACTATGGAGCACAGGGATCATCCTCTGGTGGTGTATCAGGAACTCAAGTCTATGTCAAAAACGTAAGGACGTACAGTTACTTCATGAGAACAATGAGAGAGTGGGGAAATTCTCGATAAGAGCCTCGTTTAAGAATAGTTAATTTAGATATCTTTTACCTTGTCTTTAATGTACCAATCGATGTGAGAGCATGAGTAAATAGTGTGGATGACTGGATAATAACCAGGGATAATAATAATCAGAATAATTCTTTTTTCTCTTCTTGGGGAATTAGCTTCCATATACTACTACAAATCTCGACTTGAGGGAACTTTTCAAGCACTGTGGTAGGTTTATGGATCTAATAAACACGCCATCGCGTTCGCGTTGTGTTCTCGTTGACATTCAAAGTTCATATTCTCTCGTCAGGTAATGTTGTGAGAACAGAAATACTCGAGATTAACGGTCGACCAAGAGGGGCGGGAATAGTGCAATTTGAAAACTACGAGTCAGCGCGTCTTGCTATCGGTATGTTGAAAGTGCTTGTAGTCTTTGATATCAAGAGTCATTCCTGACGTTTCTGAATGCTTGTTGTTTACAGAGAAGTTTAATGGATATACATATGGTGGCCGTGCGATCGATGTAGTTTTCGATCGATTTGCACAGTGAACGAAGAAAGAACTGTATTTTGGATTTGCTATCAACAGATTTATCGTTATGTATAATGTTGCCACTTGTGTCAGATTATATGTTAAATGTAGTATGTTAATATACAAAACTTTGCCAACATTTGCGTAAATTGCTTAAATTTGTACAGTGTTTTTAGATATTCTGACAAATATTTGCCCAATTTAAATTCTTTGCTTGTTCACAATGAAGAACGTATCGAAAATTGCTATAGCCTAATACATTGTAGCCATAGTTTGACTTGCACGTGATAAAAAAAATTTTAATTATCACGTTGTACAAATCGTTGAATATCAACCTTTCCCCAAAGATGAAAGAGTCAAAAGATGAGGAGAAATCGATCACATCAAGTAGTAACAAAAAAAGGAAGAGAGAAAGCGAATTAAAAGATGCTGGCATAAAGGAAACCAAATCCAGTCACAAAGATGGCAAAAAGAAAGGAACAAAAGTGAAAAAATCAAAGAAAACGGTGAAATCCAACGATAAGTCTAATTCTACGGAACCAGATAAGGAAGGACTAGACACAGTTGTCGAGTCTCATACCATTAAGGAGGGTGGGCGAGTGAAAAAGTCAAAGAGAGCAGAGGGATCCGTTGATATATCCGATTCTACGAAATCGGCCAAAAGGAAGGAACAAGAAGCATCAGATTCTGTGTTTAGAGAAGAAAAAAAAGCGAAAAAATCAAAGAAAGCAAAGGAATTTGTTCAGATACGTGATTCTGAGGATTCGGATAAGAAGAAAAGGCAAGACGAATCCGGTGATATTAGTGTTGAAACCTCTGCAATCAAGAAAAAAATAAAGGTTAAAAAGCCAAAGAAAACAACAGAATCCAGTTCTACGAAATTGGATAAAGAAAAGACAAGAGAAACGCCTTGTGATCTTACTATTAAACCTTTTGCAAATGATCAAGCAGCAATAAATGGTGACTCTAAACCAGTCACAGAAGAGAAACCAGGTGTACACACGAAAGCATCTTGGAAGGATTACTATTCAAAACATGACATTACAGTAGACAGTGAAATTGATATTTCGCCAATAACGTCGTTCTCGCAACTAAATGTCAACGCGTGTGTCAAGCAAGTTCTTGGCCGATTTAAAGAACCAACTCCAATACAAGCCGTATGTTGGGGAATTGGCTTGAGCGGCAAAGATGTTATTGGAATTGCAGAAACTGGGTAGGAATAACTTTTTTATTCAGACTATATCTTCAAACTTTTGACGTGTTTGTCATTAATGTTCCCCTCTCTCTTTCAATACAAGCTCGGGTAAAACTCTTGCTTTCTTGGTTCCAGCAATAACCCATATTTCGAAATCCAAAGATAACTTTGTAAAACCCAAAGTGCTAATACTCGCGCCTACGCGAGAGCTTGCTCTGCAGATTGAAGCTCAATGTAAGGAATTTGAGAAAACGTGTGGTTTTAAGAGCCTTTGTGTTTACGGTGGAGTGCAGAAATCAATACAACGTCAAGCTCTGCGCGAGGGAGCACATATATTAGTGGCCACTCCTGGCCGCTTAGTGGACTTTGTTAATGAACGTAGTTGTGACTTGAGCGGGATCTCGTTTCTTGTTTTAGATGAAGGTATGTTTTTAGACCTTGTATATATGCGCTCTTTTCCTTACTGCATCTTAAGTGTCTATGTGATTACTAGCTGATCGGATGCTTGACAAGGGTTTCGAGGACGTTCTCCGCATGATTATTTCAAAATTGCCGAAAAAACGACAGACGGCCATGTTCTCCGCCACCTGGCCCGAACTTGTTCGCCGTTTAGCACATGATTTTATGTGCAATGCGATCAAGGTCAATATTGGATCAGATGAATTGTCTGCTAATAATAATATCAAACAAATAGTGGAAGTGCTGGATGATAGAAATCAGAAGGAAGGTCGACTCTTAAGAATTCTTAATCAATATCACAAGAATGGGAACCGGGTGCTGATTTTTGTACTTTATAAAGCCGAGGCGATTCGTCTAGAAAATGCGCTTATACGTCAAGGATTTGAAGCACAAGCCATTCATGGTGATAAGAATCAATATCAACGCATGCAGGCTCTCCAAGCTTTCAGGGACGGTTACTCTCCGTTGTTAGTGGCTACTGATGTTGCGTCGAGAGGATTAGACATACCAATGGTTGAATACGTGATTAACTACACGTTTCCATTGACCATAGAAGACTATGTTCATCGCATCGGTAGAACTGGGAGAGCTGGCAAGACCGTTCGTATTAAATTCCTGAACTTAGTGTTTATGTTTCTGCTATATGTCTTTATTGATGGCTAATAGCGAATATCTTTAAACAGGGCATTTCTCATACTTTCTTTACATCACACGATAAGGCTCACTCGGGAGAGTTAATAAATGTTCTAAAATCTGCAGGCCAGTGTGTACCTCCCGAGCTACTGAAATTCGGAACTACCGTCAAAAGAAAAGAACATTCAGCATATGGTGCATTTTATAGAGAAATTGATCCTAATGCCAAGCCTACTAGGATCAAATTCGAGAGTTAGAGTTGGGGAATATTTTAATTTCATTAGCAGAATGGTGGTGAGGTTAATTTTATTTTTCGGGGCAAAACAATATGAATATTACAATACATAAGAGAACTATTGTAACTGACCCGAAGAGGAAGACAAAGAGAGGGTAAAGTCCCTTTTAATTTGCGGATGGCAAAAGATCGATATAAAGCGCAAACGTATCACACGCGATTTTTCCGGTTAACGAGGAATTGACAACAGGAGCGACGAAATAAACTTTTAACTTAAACTGTTGTTTGACAATTGCAAGCCAAAGTAACTTGTGTGAGTATCATGAAGAGAATAATAGAAGACTGTTTCAATAACTTTTTTGCCTACTTATTGCTGACTAAGCCAGGTTTGTTTTACATGAAGCAGGTGACATCATAAGAACGTTCAGTGTCATATCAACTACCCAAAACGTGATCTCTTTATGACAACGAGACGTAAGTCCCGTGCACACTAACAAGCGTTTTCACTTGCGTTGCATAGATAAAATGCCTTCCGACAAACTAATGCACGGCGCAGAATTCTTGTCATTGTTTCGTAAACTCATCTCCTTGTTTGCATGATTACTGCAATTGTAATATTTTTATTACAATGCGTCGCAGAAACTTTTGTTATCAATTATATGCATCATTCAGCAATTCGAACAGCGACAATGCATGAAACTACTCATAAAACCAATTTACTAAGGAACTGAAAAGTTTCTGTTATTCATAAAAGATGATTCAAAAGCGAGACTCCACTATTTCACTCCGGAACGCTTACAAGAATGATCATATTGAAATCGAGTATCTTACCAATTCAGTCCGTCATGATCCACGAACGGGTGAACTATTTCACGATATATTCAAAGACTTTAGAGGTCTAGCGTCATTCAACAAAGTGACAAGGAATAACATGATGAATGATAAAAGCAATGCTGCAGAAATGCCATGTAATTCGTTGTCTATTAAATGCTGTCAAGAACAGAAAGAAGAAAAGATTGTCGATAGAAACCATAAAGTTGAAGAAAGACGCGTCGAAGATCAAAAAGTATACAATGTGAATAAACGTCTACGTGAAGATGACAACACTGATGATGACAACAAAGAAGCTCAGTCCAAAAGACCTTTGTTTTCATCAAAAGAATGGATTGTAAAGAATGAATACGAAACCACGTGTGGTAAAGAACGAATAATAAAGGAAGATCAGAAGGAAACGAAAGCAGATATTGCCGCGACACACAAACCATTACCTCTATCCGCAAACTCATCATCACCTAAATTCGCGTCTTCGGCTCTACTATCACAATATAAACCTCGCCGTATAAAAGAAGTAATCCGTGGGAAAAACGAACGCCGTCTGCTCCTGGCCGAACCTTGTGTCTGTTGCCGTGACTTTTACAACATGATCGCTCCTGTAAAAATAAACCCAGGAATGACAAACATTCCCGAAGACGTCAGACAGAAAGGGTATGCGGATGCTGACGATCTTTGTAGGATGTACGGTAGACACAGATACAAATATAGTAAACGTGAACCAGGTGACTGGTATTGGGATATCAATGGTGGGAAGCTGTTCAGCAAGGCACAATTGGAGAGGATAAGAAAGGAGGTAGAAACGAATGACAAAGAATGGGAAGCGAGAAGGAAAAAGGAAGACGAGTATTGGGACAAGCTTAACGGCGGCGGACAATAGCAAATAAGTAGAAGAGAACATGAATGAATGAGTGTGAATAGAACATACTATTAAGTGGATCATATAACAGTGATATTCATAGAACTCTTTCATGAACAACTGCCAAGTTAAAGTAACATGTTTATTAAGATCAGTAACTTAGAATTTACATCCAATTGTATGGAATGTTTCGGATTCGCTTGCTCTAGAGACAGGAAATATACAAGTAATTTCAAGCAACCACTTTGACGCTTAGACAAGGAACGTTGACGAAAAATTGATTCAACTAGTTGCCTCTATTGATTATCAATGAAAAATATACGTTGAAATTCAAAATACAAGAATGTCAATTTTTTTTTCAACTCAAAAATTCACATTATCGTTAATCAAGAGTTTCTCAAGATATAGTTAATAGCAGCGTGGCATACTCATAGTTGCATCTTGTTTACAAGTTTCGTAGTTTTGGTTCCTCTTGGTTGGCGTGTAATCCCCTTAGCCATTGTATAGTAATTGTTGTTACCTGCATAAAATATAATAACAATGGATGATTTTCATTATTACATCCTATTTTGTCTTTGATACAAAATATACGCTGGTAGTTAGTTAAGACCGCCTCAGTATATCCAAGTCGTGCGAGGTCACGCGTGTCGTCAAACTGGAGCCATCACAACGTATCGACGAAAAAACAACCAACCTTTGAATACGTGTTCATTTCTACTTGGTTTCTCGTTATTCTCAGACCAACAGAACGACATAGTAGCATCGTATGTGGTAATCTCTATTTCATTGGTATGTCGCAAACAAAAAATACCCATAAAACAAAAAACTCTACTATTCAATCAATAGGAAAAGCGATTTACAACTGTTTATGGACTGTTTACTACGCATCTAACAAGCGCATTCATATTCTTAAGATCAAACCAGCATAAAACATGGTTGTGACAATAAACATTACGTATTTGATCATGTGGTAAATCATGTGGCAGCTTGGCAGTGCCTCAATTATGAGAGCGCAGCAAAGTTATTTACTTAATTTCGATAATAAGGATTCTTGTGGTATATGTTAGACCATCAAATACATTACATCATTTCATTGCGTTTATGTATTTAGATAACCGAGATACAAGTATTAATCCACGTAATAGTTTACACAATCACTTTTGTGACGCTCAACAAACGTTCCATTGAACCATTGCCCTTACCCTCCGTATTGTCCTTATTATGCATGCAAATTCCGCCATTATGCTGCACAGTAAACCAATAATATAAACCCTTCAAGTAAAAAAAAAGTACATTAGAACTATTAGGAGAAAACATGTAATATCCAAGTCCGAGATTTTCCGTAAGCTTCTCTCGTGATCTTTCAAACTCTAGCACGGTTTCTATCTGACATGATTTCCATGTGGAATTAAAAAATTTCTTTTTGCCAGCTGAAAGTAAAAAGTGAAACTGTTATTATATGCTTTATTTTCGGCACTTTGAAACCCCCCTTTTTTTGTGACATTTGAATTTGTTTTGCCCTTGTGGCTTATATAATTTCTACCCCTGTGGCGTTGTATTTTTTTTTATATTCGCAAGTTCCCGCATGCAATTGTTTGGCAGAACACGTGAGTTAACCAATAATAAACTCTATCAGAAAATTTGTAACCGCTAGCATATTAAGCGACCCCACTTTGCTCGTAGCGTATATGCGAGTATATAATGATAAATGAATACTGCTTGGTGATGATCAGCAGTAGTATACGTGTAGACTATTACCAATTCAATAATAACGTCCGAAGAACATATGATGATAATAAATAGTCGAGTCCATCCTTAAAATATATCTATCTACATACATAAACAATCATGCCAACTGCATACAGCATTCCAAACGCACATTATATGCATTTAAACTATGAATGTAACGCACAGCCTCCATACAATTTGATTCAGTCTTTTGGCCTTCTATCTTGCCCTTTTTTTTCTCATCGATTGTTGGTACATGTTCAATTGGTTGTCTCTTTTGATAAGCAAGTGAGATCGACATCCGAAAAGCATTTCCATCATAAGCCGATCATCAAAAAACCCCGTACATATATTCTCACACGCGCATTCCACGCAGTTAATCAGATGTATGCGCACGTGATCTCAATGCACGAATACAATTAGAAATACCTAATGATATATGAATATATAGCCACATCCAGACAGTTTCAGTAGATAAAGCGATAATGAATGAAAGGGTATGCAAGCAGTTGAATGCTAAGTCTATTCAAACTTTGACATATGATTGGGAGAACAAAGTCTTGGTGTAATACTCAAAGTGTAACATTAACTGCGAATCATGTGGATGATGTGCTGATCTGCACGTGTTTGGGTTACTGTGATAAACCCTTCTCCACATCGACAAATGCAAACGAGAAAATCGGCGCCAAATACTAATCACATAATTTTCATGCTGCTTTCACGCGATTGTACCCACTTCCGTTGTCCGAAACAGGTTATGACCTGCGGACTAATTTACGTCATGAATATGTGCATACCCGTAGTAATAATATTTCCATACTCTCCCCTTTATCCCCTCACAGCCCATCTGAAACTTCAAAGATATAAAAGCATGCCTTTTCCGTCCTTCTCATTTAAGAACAGTTCAAGTGAAATTACTACGCAAAGAAAATTCCCTAAAGCACGCATACACTTTGCATTTCCTACATTCCTAGGCACAAATACATTCGACTACTTATTACAAAATGTCGCGCAAAATCATTGTATCAAATATCTCCTCGACCGCCTCTGAGAAGTCTGTCATGGACTTTTTCCTCTTCTGCGGTAAAATAAAAGAATTCGAATTGATAAAGTAAGCATCCAAGGCTATTGATATGGAATTTTAACTACAAGTGCAGCTTGCTCAACGTCGAAACATCACACACTGACAAAATCTGGTTTTCTTTCTCTTTCTCCTCCTCCTCTCAGAAACGTGTCATCTGACCAGCAGACTGCCTACATCATGTTCGAGCGAGACACAGCCGCCAAAACGGCCTTAATGCTTACAAACGCAGTCATCGGTGACAGTCAAATCAAAGTAACTTTAGCAGACGACGGTTCTTCTTCAGACGAAGTATCAGAACATGACGGCTACCTCTCTCAAGAAGACAAACCAAAAGCCGCCATTTTTGCCGAAATACTCGCTGCTGGCTTCCAGCTCCAGGATCACATTATCGAACGTGGGTTACAATTTGATGCGCAATACGGATTATCTAACAAATTCAAACAGTACCTTGCACAGTTGCAAGAACAATTGAAAGTATTAGACGACAAGTATAAAGTTACCGAGTTGGTTACGTCAAAAGCTGTCGAATTGGATCAAAAGTATCATGTGCAAGATAGCGTAAAGAGAGTAGCATCACAAGCCCAGGATAAGGCTAATTCAGCACTGTCTACTTTGACCGGTAAACGATTGGCAGACATCTACTTTTCAACAACGAAAGTTGTGAGCGATGTTCATTGTGAGGCTAGGAGAATTGCTAATTTGAAGCGGTCACTAAAAGTCACAGAAGTCGCAGCTCACTAGACGATTACGCAAATACTTATATAATCATGAACGCTTATATATTATGATTCTTTTATATAATTACATTTTATATATACATTTCTCTTTCTCTTAATTTCATTTTTCACTTTATAGTCTGTCCAGTGTTTGAATTTCAACGTTTAAAACATGCTTTCGTTTTATTGTCATAATCTCGTTTCCTTTCTAACTTGACGTATTGAAAAAGGGAAAACGAGAATTCTTTTTCCATTTATTCATTCTCGGTCGTGTAAAGAGTTCAGGTTGGTCAAATTGCACAGTACAATATACTGCCTCTTAGAACAGTGTCTAGTGCTTTGAGATGTTTACTCGTAAATAAACAAATAACATTCACTATAAACAGAGTGTTATCAAAACAGTCAAAGTATAAATAGTATGCTTATCTAATGTATAAACATCAATAAAAGCATTAGCATCTTTTTTGTCCAAAACGACACAGTCGCAATGTTAGTGACTTGCAATCCACCATAACAGGTGTATCTTTGTTTCTTTCGTTGAGTCAATTATTTGCAATGAATTCAAATCAAGTTAGTAATAAAAGTAATCGTCAAAGTTCCTATGATTGATATTTAATTCTCTTTTCGACATAGTCGCCATATCTCCGCAATTGTTTCGCAAGTGTTGGGAAACGACTGTTCTTATTTTAGTACAATTTCTTACATAGGCACTCTTTCCGTAGCTTATTTCCGTTGTTTATCTAGTTAGCCTTATTGGGCTTAAGCATTTATTAGCCCAGGCTATGTTTTCTTAAAATCTCCGAAGTACTATTCCTAGTATGCTACGATCAACTCTCTTTTCAAGGACCTTATGAGTACCATCTGTGCTTTCCCAAATCGTAATTATTGATGAGTTTCTACGGCTTCCGCTTTATAAGGACCGATTTGCTTGAATTGATTCCTACGCTACGTCACTTGTAGTTTTTGATCAACCAGATCTTAGCATCCAATCAGATTACTTTGGGACAATTTCTTTTTCCGTGTTTTGTGCGGAAGGGCAAGTATTTGACGGCATGCTCGTTCGAACTTGCACGGGCTTTGCTTTTCTACTTCGAACTTTGTCTAACAAGCGTTTTCTTGGACATCGATATAATAGATATTTGCACGGGCGTAGAGCTCCGCTGCCTGCTCTTACTGTACAACTTGATGTCAGTTCTAGAGAAGTTCACGCATTAAGCAAAGCAAAACGTAATGTAAACGTTGTGCATTTAAGGCAATGGTTGCCTGAAAATTCAAAAAATGCATCAAGCAAAGGTTCGCTCGTTAGACGGTTCTCTCGTTCCACGCATGATGTTAATGAAATAAATGTGGATAGTTCTCGGACAAAAGAAACCGTGTATGAAGCGGATGGGAGTGAAGCAACAATTGCTATTGAGGAAAAATCGCCTTTCAACAAAGAAACCGCGAGCAGTCAAGGACTTTTAGCTGGTAAACAGCTTATTAAAACATTTCGCAAGATTGCGACGAAAAATAAAAAAGAACACCAAGAGACTGTCAAAGAATATTCAGAAAGACAGTTAAAGATGCTATGGGAACTATACGAGATTCTGTGTTCAAATGACGAGGCGGAAGCTCAGCTCGTGATCCAGGATCTTATAGTCTTATTGAAATATATGGTACGTACCGGCGGAAACTACGGAGTCAGATTGACACGGATTAGAAACCATCTTACAAAGAGGAATGTGAAACCGAGTGATAAACCTTATGCACTCATGATCGAACTTTGCAACAGGTATAGCTTATGGACCGAAACCATTTCGATATATTGTGAGATGATGGATAATAATATCATGCCCAAGGAAAAATCAGTTGTCGCAATAGTCGAGGCGTACAAACGTGTAGGGAATTTAAAAGGTCTGTTAGACAAACACGCAGAATACTTTAAGAAGCAAGCAACTATACCAAGCGGAATGTTTGCACTATTGATAGTAGCTTCCTTAGAGTCTGAAAAGAGAGATCAAGCAATGGAGTTCTTTGATCGAATGAAAGCGGCTAACGTTCGTCCATCCAAAACTATTTGCGAGGCTATGATCTGGCATCTAGCCCGATTCCAACTTACATACGACTCGGATTACATCTCACTCCCAATAATGGTGCAATATACTTTCCGGCTGTACGAATTTGCCAAGTCTCTCGAGATTAAAATAAGTCATCAGGCTGCGAATCACCTTCTGGAAGCTCTTGTTGACCAAGCTTTCATAAGTGAGTCGATTGTTGTGCTACAAGACTGTTTAGACAAAGGCAGGAAAATTCATAGCAGCTTGTTTAAACGCATATTTAATAATTGCGCGAACGCTGGTCGTGTTGGTGACGCTTTGAATCTTGTTGATATCATGCAAACTCGTAATATTCCTCTTGATGTGAATGCGTATACTTGTCTTATAAAAATGTATGCGAAAAGACGGGAGATGAAACAGGCTGTCAAATATTACGAGGCCATGATTGAAGCACAGCAAGTCCCGAGCGAAGTCACGTACTTAACTTTGATAAGCGGGTTTGTCAGGCAGTCTCAAATAGAAAAGGCGCAAGAGTATTTTGACTTACTGCGTAAGTCCCAAATTCCGTGTAATAAAATATATACCGCTCTTATGCATGGTTACCTACTTAAAGGGTTGATAGACAAAGTCGACGCGTTATACGATGATATGAAGTCGAATGGACAAGAACCAACAATGGTCACTTATAATATCCTTATTTATAATTCAACTTTGAAATTAGAAATGGAAACTGCCAAAGCCTTCCTTGCCGAAATGCGTTCCGTAGGGATCCAACCCGATGTTTCTACTTATTGCATAATGGTGCAAGGATATATTAGAGAAGGCAACGTTAAAACTGCTTGGGATATTTATTATTCTATGGTGGAGCGGGGAATCGCGAGTAATCCCGTTGTTGCAACAGCATTATTGTCGGTGTATGGCAAGACTAGCGACTTGGAAGGATTAACGAAAGCCTGGAATATCTTGTTCAAACGTTCGTTTGAAGATGAAATGCTTGATGAGGGAAAGGATACGCATAGACAGATTAAAGCCAAGCCCAATATCATCACTTACACAGTAGTCGCCCATTCTTTACTCAAAAAAATTACTAGCCCATTGGTCGCATACGAGCTGTACCAGAAATTCTGCGCAGAGTTGTTTGACTATTCGTTCGTGAATAGGGAAAGTAATTTAGGCACAAAGAGCTTATTTGAACATGCACGTACTCAGAGACTGAACCCGGATTGCGCTTTTTTTAATGTGTTTATTAGCATACTAGCAATACGACTTCAGAACATGTCACTTGCTACAAAGGTGTATCAAGACATGATACGACGCAGAGTATGGCCTGACGTCGCAACATATACAATAATGATGGCAGGGTATGGAATTAGAAATCGACCAGATGTAGCAGACAGTATATACAAGATTATGAAAGAGAGAAATATCGAACCCAACATATTTACGTTTACTGTTCTAGCAAGAGCGTGGGCATATCAGGATAATCTCCCAAAGATGCAGGAAATTCACGAAGAGATGCTATCTTGTGGAATCCTTCCTGATCAACGGGTATACTTAATATATAAGAAATTCCTTGAGAAAATGGGAGTGGCATCAAGCAGCGTGGAATGGGCAGAGGAAGAGAATAGAGAAGAATCTGATGATTTATTTGATGTTAGAAATCCTCTCAAGATGGCAACGACCTCTGCATTATTTGAGGGTATCTCGTGCCGATAGCAATAACCACCTCCTCAACGTGATGACAAACACTCTGTATGGCCGCATCCCACTTTGCGCCCAACGCTCCACTACTTTCAAAGAATATCAATCTTTCGATCTGATCAATGGTGCCTTGCATGCGACCTTGCTCAATCATCGAACTAGCAATCTGTTCGGCTTGTTCGGGCGAAATAGCCAGCAGCGATCCGAGTTCCGCGAAAGTTATATTATTATACAACCGAGAGGCAGACAGCAGGTTATGCTCTATAACTGCACGATCAAGCACAGTTGTGCCGTCCGCAAGTACAGCACGCTGATGATCTTTCAACGTAACCGCGAATTCTTGAACTTCGGATGGTCGTAGAACGCGATCAAGATACATCTTTTCGAGTATGGAAAAGTGCGGCAGCCGTTGGGCACGTTCATCTTTATAAAGCGTTGCGAGCATGCGTGAACGTGGGGGTCCGGCACCGGCGAGAACGGCGCATGTTATTGCTGCGTTTCTGATTGTATATATATGCGTGAAATAAATTATGTCAGTAAAGACTAATGTATTCGCTTGCAAATAATATTAACGTCTTTGTTAGACCAACAATGCACTTACAGACAATGTTGCTGCTCGTCCGGATGCAAATCGGATACATAGCTTAATTCGTGATATTTAGAACTGGCCTCAAGAAATTTACGTTTAAAATCGAGAATTCTTGCTTGCGATAATTTAAACGTTAAAAGGATTTCTTGGTCCTTGCAATTATGAACCAACAGAGCAGCACGACTTAAAAACGTTTCCGCCGAAACAGCTTCGTCATCTTCGAGCAATAAACGAACAATCTTTATATATATTTTCAGTTTATAGTCATCTGGAATGGTTCTATAAGCAATTGATCGATCAATATTTAGGTGTAAGAAAAAATCGGCATAATTCAGTTAACGTTGACATAATACTAATAATTACCGATGCCCCGAATCCAACGGAATTCCTTGTAATACGCGAGCAGCTTCTTTCCAATCTTCCTCAAGTTCGTATATGTCAGCCAGCTTCTCACGTAAAGTAGATATCTATGGAATAAGCGCAAGTAATGACTACTCGCATTAGCTCGTGGTAGGCCGCAATCGTAAGGGACCGATTCAGCCAGGTACGTACCTGTTCCTCAAAACTGACTATACGCGGTTGGACTTTATTTAATGCGAAATGCAAGACTCGTCTTTTGATGCCAAGATCAGCTATTTTATCTACACCCTGAACAAAGTCTGATAGAACTTGGCGCGAGATCACAAGACCAACGTGTTCTTGCACTATGTAATCAACGAAAGTTTCTAAATCGTTAGCCAACGCATTCTGATCAGAGTTTGCGAGGCATATGTCTAGAGCAGCACGGTATTCGGCGGTTTTATCCTTTTGTGAGGAGATTTTGGATATTTCATTAAGACGCTGAGCAAGAGCTTCGGACATTTTAGAAAAGAGATATTAAATATTCTTGTTAAAGTCAAGGGCTTTTTGAATCGTGACCCGACTAAGTAAGATCTGCAACAAGAATTACATCACACGATAAATATCGGTGCCGCATATGGTGGCAAATCTTTCTTTTCGACTGCGTGAAATAAAGCTAAAAAGACTTTATTGAACAAAGGGAGGGTTGGTGGTAAAAATAAAGTTTTTTATTATCATGTGGACATGATGAATGTTATCATATATAAGATTCCCTTTATAGGCGGGGCAATAGCCTTGTAATAACGACAAAAGCTCTATAAATCGAATTACAGGCTTTGTTAATGGAGAGGAGCAGCTCAAGTACATCTTTATGGCATGGATTAGACGTTTGTGCGCGAAAGCCGAATTTAGAATTACAATCTGCACGCCCAGCATAATACCATCATTACAACTACAGAATGGATCTTTGCGTTTGACTAAGAATGTAACGACTGAACGTTTCCCTTACTATTACGCTTTGTACATTTCGTCCTTCTCATTAACAACTGTTGAATGTTACATGCCCAAATATTTAGTTACCCGCCAGTTGAAAGTTCAAATTCCTGTTGCCTACACTTGCCTCCAATAAAGCAGGCTTATATAGGCGGGTAAGTGTCGGTAATTAATCTTATTTGCGGGATTATCAAGAATCTCTAATCATACATCACTTACTGTCATAGGTCAGGTGCTTATCAGGAGTCACAGGATCTGACTCAACATTCGTGTAACCCCAAATCGGTCTCATCTAAGCTTTCAAACTTGAGTATTATTCAGCTTAAAACACCCTGGTAAGGACGCTTTTAATTTCAAGTAATAGACTTTCAAAGATGGAAGAGCGTTTTGACGGATTTCTTATCTTTTCTGCAAAGTGTGCGTAATCATTACATTCTATTTAGATGATATCTGTAATTAATACAGCTCTGTTTATCCAGCAGCCCGTTGAAGAGCAAACAGCAAGAAAGATTCTACCCGTGCGTACATGATAAGAGTATATTTGAGATATAGTAATCAACCGTCAAAGTTTTCTACTTGCACGTGGAAGACAATGTTATTAGTATTGCTGCTATGTATTTATTTACAATCAAATATTTCCCTTATGAACAGTAGCAACGTAAAACACGCGACGTGCCATGCAGGTATGCGATTATTAACGCACTTGGGCGGACCTCTTCTTACCTTTGTTGTTTGCTGTTTTATTAAATAATTTACTTGTTTCGTATGCCCGTTTTGTATAGTCTAGTCAACCTGTTGCCGAGACTACCTCTTCCGTTCAGACTTCGTCCAACGTACCCGCTATAATCCATACTGCAACTGTTGCACGATCCGAGGCGAACCTCTTTCACTGTACTGTTGACGGATGTCCGAAGAAGTATAAGAATGCGAACGGTCTTAAATATCACAGAGCGCATGGTCATAGTCCTCGGACAGATAATGGCGAGAAGCCCTACAAATGCCAGGTGAATGGTTGTACAAAATCTTATAGGAACCCGAACGGACTGAAGTATCATTTAGATCACCATCATTCAGGACAAAATGTCCAGATTACTAATAACACTGCCGTATCGGTGGATCAAAAAATATCTATTTCTCAATAAACATGGTTCAGGCAACCGAAAGATATAACGGTGAGTGTGTGATGCATTCCCAAGTATCTGCTGTGCTGTGATTATAGGTGAACGGTCTAACATTTGCATCAAATGGGTTATAAGGTCTAAATACGATATCAACAGAACCAAGTTAATGGATTATGAGCAACGCTTCTTAAGAGCTTTCTCCGTGAAAAAAAAGGGGGGAAAACGCTGCCTTTAATTCATCTGTTCTCAAGTTGTCAACATTAATTGATAATGACTACTAATTGGTTAAACCCCCCTCTTATTTGGTAATGGGTGGGGACAAGCTAAAATTTTGGTATTAAATTGTTAATCTCAAAAGTATCAGGTTGTCATAGTCATCACGATCTACTTGCAAAGCGTTAAATAAAGAAAGTGCGTGAAAGCATGTGGACAATCTTTTGATATACGTCAGAATGTCACTTTTTCTTCACGTACAATACATTTGAAACGAATAATTTCTGGCTAGGAATAGAGTAGAGCTACAACACTGAAATAACCAAAAGGTTGTTTCATTTTAATGCCTATACGAATGAGATCACAAAAAAGTTCTTATCAACGAGTCTAATAATATCGATTAGGTCACCCCATACAAAAATGATCATTGGGATCTGAAATTCCGATTTTACTGGTTCTGGAAATCTTTTTAGCTGATTCATCTATGATATGCGTTATTGAGGGTTTTCTTACACCTGTTTTTTTTTCCTGATTTGCACGATGACAATAGAAGCTGCATGACCTTTATTCCGAATTATGTATGCATTGTCACTAGGGGAGACGATCATAACGCCGAAAATCATTTCACCGACGTAAGATTTCACCGACAATCATTTCACTGAAAATCATTTCGCCGACAACACTACCAAAAAAGGATAATTTCGAAATAATGTTGGTGAATATGTCGGTGAAATGATTGTCGGTGAAATGATTGTCGACGAAATGATTGTCGGTGAAATCTTACGTCGGTGAAATGATTTTCGGTGAAATGATACGGACCCGTCACTAGTATGTTCTCGATCACAAACTGGACAGTGTGAAGATGTTATACGTGATAATGGAAAGGTGTCAGGATAATTTTCTAATGGGTATAAAATTCTGTATCCTTCAATGCTTTTTTCTTTAAGTATTAAATCTATCAATTCGAATCCAGCTTTTATAGTTTCAGTGGCTTTATTGTAAGAGTAAATTCGTATTTTAAAATTTTTTTGTGTTTTTTAAAGTTACGCGTATGCGTATGCGTATGCGCTTTTGGACGTTTCATATATTCTGGTTGGCACAGGCTCTTGGACAGATAAAAGAGGGCTGTCTATAACTGGTGTTTTTTTTTACCCGTACATGTTCTTCTGTAGCTTTAATAAATTTCGGGGTTCCGAGTATCCGCAAGGAGAATGAGCTCTTACTGTATTTGCGATATTATCAACAATGTCTTTGCTTTGTAAACTAACTGGGAGTTTATTGCGGACAAGCTCAGTAAATACTGCAACCTTAGCAGTATTTTAAGTCGGAGGCCAAAAGTTGATATATTAATATGGAGTGACATTTCTACTGGGCGCTTGTTAAAGTGTTGAATTTCCAAACTTTCTTAAAAAGCACGACAAAGTAAATCCTGTATTTCCTTAGGTGTAAGCTTAGGTTCGATTTATTAAACCTTTTTCTAGACAAATCAAAATCGATAATAGGACGAGGTGTCAATATATTCATGTAGTGAATGACCTGTACGTTCTGTAAACATTGCCTCTATCCCATCTTCGGTATCTGTTCCAAGAAATTGTCTCGACACTATCGTCACGAATTTTATACATATATTCTGACACGCTCCCGGCTTTGGGCTCTCGGTGGTAGAAGCCCCCGTTCCCTTCTTCCTCTTCCTCTATCTCTGGCTCGAAAATCTCCAGCTCTCCGGTGCGTAAGGGTCTTCGCATTGTTCCAAATTTTCGGAAGCAGGAATCTCGGTCGGCATATTAGGTAATACAGAGCATTGAATCCCTGATTCTTCAGTATACGCGGATACAGTAGGTGTATTGTGTTCACTTTGGGTTTCGATGGTATATTATTCGCGAGAAAAAAGTTCAAAATGAAAAATTAATTCCTATAGACTACTAATACTAATAGAGGTGGATATATCATGTATATATCGTATACCATAGGAAAGAGTTTGACATTTTTTCTAGAATTCTATTTTTTACCTAAACAATTTAGACGAAATAGAACAAGTATAGGAGAACAAGTTAAAACAAAAATAAACCGTTTATTCTCATGCCGTTATCCGTCCAAGTTGGCATATTTTTACCTGGACGAAACCTGGACGAATTTTTTTCTTGGACGCGTGAATTAGTATAACACAGAAACGCATATAAGGGGTACGAGTAACTTTTTTTTAGCTTTCTCTACCTTTGAAATCAATAACAATCTGAAGAAATGCACAAGTATAAGGGCTCTTTTTCCTATAAGAACAATCATGCATGCAACGTTGAAATTAACATCTCACGGTTGAAAAAGTAAACCTTGATATTGCACGAATATATTTCGCCGATAGTCAGAACAATCAAGTCGCGATTCCGAACGGATAGGATATCACACACAGCAATACTCTCGTGCCAATTACGAATCTAGGCGGGGTTCAACAGTGGCTAATAACTTGGTTTTCAAGTTATTCTTTACGTCTCAACGGTTTGAATTTCCTTGGACTAGACAATCTAAAACAGCAGAGTGTTCGAGGAAACTTTAACTCTGACGCTGTTAACGTCGTTTAAAATGCCATTTATTGCATTTCGTATTCACATATATATGTCGAAATTTCTTATTCACGGATTGTATACACTCTATTTAGCTTTATTAGACAAAGAAAATACTATCTTTTTCTTCTCTTCCTTTGACGTTTTCTAACCATTGAGCACTTGGTCCGATCCTTATTTCAGTTACTTGTTTGTTAAGCATGATGTTAAATAAATCGGTGTACCTTTCTGATGCTCGTTCCTTTATCAATAGCTCGAAATTACAGTATCAATAATTTGATAAGAGGAGGGACGTTGTGCAGTGACAATAGATGTTTGAAGTGGTACATACGACGTTTCCACTACTCCCCTAGCAGCATCAACAGACCGTCGTTGAAGGCCGCATGGATTAACGTTGTCGACTATAAGACTTTTCCTTCTACTTTTGTTCCGCTTCTCGGCAATCAACATTAATTTACGGAATAATTCATTTTCCTATTTGTTCGCATGGACAGACAAACAAGAAAAACGCTTGCGGTGCAAACCACGCCAATAGCATATCTTCAATGGAGTTGTTCTACCGGCGATATTAAAGAATAAACGAAATAAATTTGCATCTAGCACGGGTTTTTTATTTAGAATGACACTTGGACCATACATACTCCCCCACCTCAATCATTTAATCGACACTGGCAGCCGAAAAATTGGTAGCCAAAGACTTACTGTTAATGAATTAATAGAGAGAGTGCGGTGAATTGGTAAGGCAAGGAACAATTATGAAATAAAGACTTTGATTTGATAACGTTGGGAGATAACATTTGCCAACGAAACTACGAACTACTCGTTATTTCGCACGCTTAATATGGTACACTTCTTGATTAGCGCTTGCTGACTTGTATTTTGGGCATTGTTAAATTTGCGTCAAGGCTATGCAGTAATATCATAAACGAGCGAAAATTCCGTCGAACGCCTCAAGATCAAATGCGGTCGAGTGTGCCTGTTTCACGTTCAGTAATCCGATTAATCCTGATGGCTGTTGTGATGACATTTGGGACTCCATCTTGATTTATCGCCCTTTGCAAAATAGAAAAGAAGATTAAGTTAATCCTAGAGAATCTGAAAAATAGAGATCAAACTTTATTCATACCATGGTATGTTAACACGCATTTGTCTGATCCAATCGCCAATAGCATAACCATTTCTAAATGTAAATACAATGTTGCCATAATTTGT